TCATCACCGCACCAGGCTTTAAGAAGTCGAGTCTCAAACCTGAAGCTTCCGAGACGCTGGAAAAGGCTCTCGATCAACTGGGCAACGCAGGACGACCGGATGTTTCCCCTACCGCAAAGAACCTAGCTCTCCTACTTCAGTATCGCGACGCCATCGATCCAGATGAGGAAGACGCGTTCGTGCCCAACGACAAGCAGATTGAAGAGAGGAAAACGTATAAGCTTGCTTTAGAGTACATAACCCAGGCAGATAACCCGCCTCCAGTACGTTCCGAAGGCCTCAACCTCCTCTCAGGTTTGGTGGCTTCGAACAGCTCGATTCTCGACATTCAGTCAACACTCGTACTTCTCTCGTCACTGCTGCAAGATAGCGAGGACTTCATAAACCTACGAGTCATCAAGCTCTTTACGCAATTGGCAAACAAACACCCGAAGGCAGCCACACAGGAGATCCTAGAGCACTACCTGGACGCCAAGGAGACGTCAACAACCGATATTCGTTTACGCTTTGGAGAGGCGCTACTCCAAATGATTGAGCGCCTCGGTGAAACGTTCACTGGAGATGTTGCAAAGAGGGTCTCTGAGACGCTTCTGTCAATTGCTGGAAGAAGGGGCCATCGACCGAAAACGGAAGCGAAACAAGCTCGCGAGAAGCGCCTGCAAGACATGAAGAAGAAACAGGCCGAGGACGCCTGGAGAGGCGAAGTGCCAGATCTTGGAGACGAGATGAATGAGGATGAACAGGCAAAGAACGAGATCTTGACTCAGATCGTCGAGGGCTGGGAAAGCAAAAGAGGCAGCGAAGATGTCCGGATGCGGACTTCCGCTCTATCAATCTTTTCCTCTGCAATCGAAGTAAACATCACTGGTGTTGGGTCCGATTTGGTGTCTATCGCAGTTGATCTCTGCATCAGCGTTCTCACCCTTGAACGGGAAATGGAGAAGGGAATCCTTCGAAGAGCAGCTATCCTCCTGATCCTAGGATTCGTCAGAGCCCTGGACGATGCAAAGCAAACAGGCAGGAGACTTGGTTTCGGCTTGACGGATCAAAGCCGGGAGGATATTATGAGGACGCTAAAGTACATTGCCGTCACAGACAACGACGGACTGGTTCAGCAACACGCTCGCGATGTAATTGAGAGCATGGAGAACTGGCAACTTTCCACACTCCTTCCGGCAGAGAGCTCCGTTGCGGAATCAGGCATCGGTCGCCTGGCAGGCCTGGCAATTGACGCAGGCCTGGCAATTGACCAGGACCGGTCGCTCCCTTCTGTCAACACAAAACGGCCCAGGATAGAAGAGATTGAGTGAACATGGAATTTTCACTGAGTCGAAGTCTTTTCCTTTGAGACCGTGAAAAATCATCGGCAGGGCGGGAACAATACGTGTGATCGATGTTCCGATCTGGTTCAGATGAGGTACGGCCCGGACCGGCCCGCCACAAAGTGATCAGGGGGGGATGGGTGAACACCGCTTAAGTGCATAAAGCGCCACGTGATCGCGCGAGGCGCATTCCAATGTCGCGTTTTCGAATAGAAAACAATTAAGCAAGTACCTCGGCGTACACCCATTGTACCCTTCACAATTCGCCTCACACTAGACACGCGCCTCGACCTCCTCCACCGCGGACTCCCTTTGCCACTGCGCGACAATGGCTCCTGCCCGGGTCATCGCAGACTCAGACGACTCAGACGATGACTTCGATCTGGAAGACGGTCCAGCGAAGCCTCCAACACCCAAGAAATCCAGCGAAGGACGTTCCTCCGATCCAGTAAGCGCTGCGACAGGCTCAACCGACCCTCAAGTCTTCCAAGAGATATACAACGACCAGCGAGCTCCAGCTACGGACGACATCTTGTCGCATCACGATCACTTCTCGGTACCCCACGGCGCGGTCTGTAGCTCCGCATCTGATGGCATAAAGGCTGCGACGAAGAAGGACGACACCAACACCTCGTCATTGACTTCAATCACCGACCCGACTATGGGATCGAACCGGACAAAGAAGGCAAAGAGACCGGAGATCGTGGACCTTACGCAGGTCACGACCCCTGGGAGGAGTGCCAATGACACGCCGAAGGACATGTGGGACGTGCCTAGCAGCCCGGCCGAACAGCCAACAGCACCGATTGCTACCTTGGCCAAAAACAAAACGCCTACAAGCAACAAGAGGAAGCGAGTGAACAATGTCGAGTTGACCTCTCCATTAGCTATCGAGATGCCCTCCCAAGGGTCCACACAGCCGTTTGACGTCACTCCGGTAGGGAGAGCCAACTTTTCTCTACCTCAGGCAGCCAAGAAACAGAGAATCGATGCACCGGTGTCATCGGCGGCGACTGACGATATTGACATGGTGGTCCCCCTCGATGATGGTTCTGTACTGGTCAATAGCCCGATCTCGGGACAAAAGCAGGTCTCTCTGTATATCGAACCCCGAGCTCTGACGGCTAGCCAACAGCTGCAATACGAGTATCATTCAGTCGATCCGTCGCCGGATGACCAGAGACCACCGCCTTCCCGCCATTTCACAACCTTGCAAGCTGCAGCACGCTCTAGTGGAGCTACTACTATTGCATACTCTACGCCCAGTCAAACACGAGTCCGGGGAATGCTCCAAGAGTCATTCGTAGATGATACGAACTCTCGAACGGCGTTTGAAGCCGTGCAGGAAATACGAGAAGTCATTGACCCCGAAGCGACAATCGAGATCCAATCATCACCGGACATCATATCTGCAGCGCCTGTACGCAAGAAGCGCAGTCAGCACCGTGATGAATCTCCGCAGGCTGCAGCGTTGCATGTTGCAGACGATTGGAACTCGGACGATACTGGGTTTCCTCGTGAGATGTACAAACCTCGACCAAGCCGACGAAGGGGTAGCGACGCTAGTCGGCAGAGCGATAACGGGAATGCCACATTCACAACAGTCCCCGAGGCTGACATGGGACCAGCTGCACAACTTATCGAAGAGGTTGCTCCACCAGCCAGCCCTCCCAAACCCAAGAAGAGAGGGCGCCCTAGGAAATCCGATGCAGCAGCAGCCCCTGAGCCTGCCGAGACCCAAGCACCGTCACCCGGAGTCGCACCCGCAGTTCTGAGCGAGGTCGCCGAGAGCCCAGCTGCAGCGGAACCAACGTCAGCGGCTACACAGCAAACCAAGAAGAAAAGAGGCCGGCCAAGGAAGTCAGACAAGGTTGTCGCGGCGCACGTGCAGCAGGAACCCGTGGATCAGCCCGCAGCCGTTGAACCCGCTGACGAGGCCAAGAATATTGCTGTTCCAGTGGATTTGGAGCCTGCGGGTGATAACCAATTGGAGAAGACCAGCAGGTCAACCAAGCCCAAGAAGAGTGATAAGAAGCGATCTACAGAGGAGGTGACCGGAAAAGGGCCAGCGAGTGAGACTACAAGTGAGGCGGGCGAAGCACGGGCTCTGCAGCCTACAACGGCCAACTCGGGGCTGAAGCCCGGTTCCGATGGTTCGGGTCCGCAAAGCGCGGCAACAGAGGGGGAGGCGGCAATTGTCACTCCGCAGAAGAACGAGGTCAAAAAAGAGGTGGCGGGCAAAGCCGATGGCAAGCAGGGGGTCACAACGCCAGCATCGCAGGCTGGGAAGCCTCTCTATCGGGTGGGGCTCAGCAAGAAGTCGAAGATTGCACCACTACTTAAGATTGTGCGCAAGTGAAACAATTCGATGGAAATTGGCGCGGGGCTGACGGCGGAGGGGTCGATGTTGACCATATTTCTTTTTTCGAGATACCCGGGGCATTGTGGGAAGCAGGCGTTTAAGGCACGGCACAGTGAGAGTGGGCTGGACAGACAGCATGAGGCATACGATTGATGAGGCTCGGCGGTATTAATGATGCCGATAGGATGCTATAGCAAGCCTATTATGGATATTCGATATGCGATGGAAACTTGCAACAGTTTCAGTCACTCCTCCAGGTTGAATCGAGACATCAATGCTCATCACGGTTACCCAAACCCAAGAACAGGCCAAACTGCCAGTGACGACTCACTCGACAGGTCCTTCGATTAGCCAGCGACAGCTACCAGCCTCGCCGTCAGCGACACAAACAGATTGTCAGCACCCGAGCTGTCAGAGCTCAATTGACTCGATCTGATGGAGGGGGATGGAGGGGTAATCGGTTGGAGGGGCAATAAGAGGCGCATATTGCATGTTGCATGCTGCTGGCTGCAGCTCAGGAGGTGGACACGACACAAGGAACTTCAGGCGCACGGATGCATCAGCTCCTGTGCGACGCTGGAAAGAGCTTGCTGCCCATGATCCGTCCAATCACAGAGCCAGAATTGGACATTCCGGCGCCGAAAACCAGGATTCTTGGCATCCCGACATGGCCCAGAGACACTCGTCGGAGTGGAAAGTGGACATTTGGGGAAGGGATGACAACCCCGCGGCCAGTACTTTTTTTTATTTTTATTTTCTTCCCTGGTGGTCTCCCTCAGCGCAGCGCAAGTGCCATCCAATGTCCCATGCCATGTCCTGCCCACCCGTCCGACGCCGTTGTCACCCCGCCGCCGCCTGCCTCCCGATTGACGGCTAGTGCGGGGCAAAATTTGCGGTTACTCACTCCTGAGTTACTAAAGTTGCGCAAGACCAGGACTGGGACTGTAGGTAGGCACGGGACATTGGCGGGGAGGGGAGGACCTAATTACAGACTGGAAGACGCTGGACAGCAGTGACTGTGGACGACGACGGGAGGGGTCCCGGGAGGGAAGAGGAGAGGAGAGGGGCTCTTTTTCTGTTGGCTCGACTCGCATCGAGTCGAGCCACCACCGACTTTCGGCCACTTGACGTGCTTGGTGTGACTCGACTTTTTTTCTTTCTTCTTCCGTCCATCGCTCCATCCCGCCCTTCTCAGCCCGAGATCTTGCATTCGCAGAGACGAGGTCTCGTTACTTTTCCCCTTCCATTTCCCGCTCCCTTTCAATTGGGCTTCGTCCTCTTTTCTGCCCATTCCCTCCTCACCGCATAAAGGCATCATGGCCACCAACGGTACCACCACCAACGGCCAGACCGGCACCGGCGCCGACACCACCCACACCCAGTCGCAGCGCTACCTGAGCACCCGCGGCGAGGACAGCGGTGTATGTTATACCCCCGTCTCTTGAACCAATTGCTTCTGCAAGCCATTGCGCGCAACTCCTGAAGCCACTGTCTGCACAGCGCTGATCGCATCTCCAGTTCTCCTTCGAGGAGGTCGTTCTCAAGGGTCTCGCCAGCGATGGCGGTCTCTTCATCCCCGAGCACATCCCCCAGGTCGCCAACTGGCAGGACTGGAAGGATCTCTCCTTTCCCGACCTCGCCCACAAGATCCTCTCTCTCTATATCTCCGCCTCCGAGATTCCTTCCGAAGACCTCAAGGGCATCATCGACCGAAGCTATGCCACCTTCCGCCACGCCGACACCACACCGCTCCGCCACCTGAACGACAACCTCTACCTCCTCGAGCTCTTCCACGGCCCGACCTTTGCCTTCAAGGACGTTGCGCTGCAGTTCCTCGGCAACCTGTTTGAATACTTCCTCGTGCGCAAGAACGAGGGCAAGACTGGAAAGGGTATGCTCGCTGGAGCCCGCGCGGGGTAGATTGCGCCTGTTGGACAAGCCAGACTAACACGTTGCGCAGACAGACATCACTTGACTGTTGTTGGCGCTACGAGTGGTGACACAGGATCCGCCGCCATCTACGGCCTGCGCGGCAAGAAGGATGTCTCTGTCTTCATCCTGCACCCCAAGGGTCGCGTGAGCCCCATCCAGGAGGCCCAGATGACGACTGTCCTGGACGAGAACGTCCACAACCTTGCCGTCACCGGTACCTTTGACGACTGTCAAGTAAGTAGCCCGTCACCCGATTGTGCGCCTTCGCCAACATCAATCGTTACAGGACATCGTCAAGGCCCTGTTCGCCGATTCCGACATCAACTCGACGCACAACCTCGGTGCCGTCAACTCCATCAACTGGGCCCGTATCCTCGCCCAGATCGTCTACTACTTCCACTCCTACTTCTCCCTCGCCAAGACCTCCGAATCCTTCAAGCTTGGCGACAAGGTCCGCTTCGTCGTGCCCACGGGCAACTTCGGCGACATCCTCGCCGGCTACTTCGCCTTCCGCATGGGCTTGCCTGTTGACAAGCTCGTTATCGCAACCAACGAGAACGATATCCTCCACAGGTTCTGGACGACCGGCAAGTACGAGAAGCAGCCCGCGCCTCCCGCCGAGGCCACCGGCGGCCTGGCCACCGATGGTGCCAAGGCGCATGAGGACGGCGTCAAGGAGACCCTCAGCCCTGCCATGGACATTCTGGTCTCCAGCAACTTTGAGCGTCTGCTGTGGTTCCTCGCCTACGAGTTCGCCACCACCGCCGGCATGGACGACGAGTGGAACAAGAGACAAGCCTCCCAGGAGGTCGCATCTTGGCTCAAGGACCTTAAGACCAAGGGCGGCTTCGGCCCTGTCTACAAGGATGTGCTCACTTCAGCCCGCCGCGACTTCGAGAGCGAGCGCGTCAGCGATCCCCAGACCGTCGAGACAATCAAGGACTTCTACAACAAGATCGACTACGTTCTTGACCCCCACTCTGCCATTGGTGTTGCCGCTTCCCTGCGATCTATTGAGCGCGCCGCCGAGGTGCCGCACATCTCCCTTTCCACCGCCCACCCTGCCAAGTTCGCCGGCGCCGTCGACATGGCGCTCAAGGAGGAGCAGGGATTCAACTTCAAGGAGAAGGTCCTCCCCACGGAGTTTGTCGGTTTGGAGGAGAGGGAGAAGAGGGTCACAGAGTGCGTCAACGACTGGCAGAAGGTCAGGGAGATTGTCAGAGCGCAGGTCGACGAGGAGCTGAAGGCTCTCCACAGCTAAGCGGGGTGACTGAGGGCTGAGAAACATACAAAGCATAAGCATACAAGCTGTGTCGCGGTTCACTTTCGACCACGGCAGCAAGAAATACCAACGAGAGGCATACGTTTTCTGGAGAGCGCTTGATGGCGGAGGTTTTTCTTTTCAGTCACCAGTGATCGGCATCTTGATAGTGCGCTACGCATCGTCAGACTGTACGTTTTTGATTTCATTCTGATATCTACACCCCCTATAGAAAACACTTGTGGTTCGTCTGGGGGTCGATTGGGCGGTTTGGAGAGGGGCGCAACTTGCATTGCATGAAGCCGTTTTGGCTGCGGTCGAAGACCTCCCGCATTCCGGGTGTGGTTTACAAAAACGTAAAAACGCAAAATAGGAGGGGGATCACGCGTGAATAGCGGAAACCATGATGATAAACGATATTTCGAGTTTCTGAGCCTTGATTTGCTGGGTGATGGTGACGGGAGGAGTGATGTCGTGATGGGCGCAGTGTACTTGGATGAGCGGCACAGGTTTGCTTGCGATGTCCTGCCCATCATCGTCGATGCCTTCCACCATCCCTCCCTCTCCTCGGCCATGTACTGGTTCATCATCGCGATCGTCGTCATCACTGCTCACGATGTCGCGGGTACAAGTTCTCGCGCAGACGTCGATGATGCAGACGACGCTGGAGGCCGACCGAATGTCTCGCGCTTGGAGCATGCCTCCCGGGCGCTGGCTGGCTGGGCATGTCGGTGAGAAGCTTGTCTTGTCCTGGAAGGACCACCGCGGAACGATTGTTAGCAAGGTCTGCGGAACGATTGTTAGCAAGGTCTTCCAACTGCAAAGTTTGGGCGGTGAAGTTTGATAGGTACCGTTTGGTGATTTGTATGGGTGCGATAGCATGTGACTGGGAGGGCGAGATGAGTATAAAAGTCTGTAACATTTCCATGAGATTTCCGATTGATTTAAAGGCAACTCAGCTCATCGCAACAGACAACGGACGACAACCATCCTATCAACTAAAACACATCACTGAACTTCGTTTCAAACCATCTCAGACAGAAACGCCAACGCTGGTCAGCAGGGCCAGGGTGGCCAAGGAGGACAGGCCCAGGGAGGACAGCAGGGCCAGCACAAGTAGACGGATGAACGGACGGACGGTGGAGAGGTTGAGAGGTTGAGGGAGAGACAGGTGTTGTATTCACGTCACTCGTTTGTTTGCCGCGTTTGATAGGTCTATGGCAGAGAGAGACGTCTACTTGTCTACTCAGTCGCACATCCTGTCAATCAGAGCGCGTAGATTTGTGTAGCAACTTGGCTTCGAGATATGTGAGATGAGACGACGGTGTTCTACTACATAAATATATACCTTGTTCATCGTCAACTGATACAGTATATTAAGGGACAAATGCGGTGTCGTGTAAATCTGTATATCTTTACTTACCTCCGTATTCTCTACTTTTGTCCTCATCCAACATGGATTTACTTATATTTGTCGTACATGAGATAGATGTAGGTATCAGAGGACTTACGTGCATCGTCTTGACATACAGAGTATGAAGGAAAATAGATAAATCAGATTATTCATTCGTTCAAATTCAAGTATAACTATTGAAAATTTACGCAGAGCTTTCAACTTACGCAGGAGAGAAGAATTTAGTGCGGAACTTGCCCTCGATGACTCCCATTGTTGGTATTCGCGGTGCCTTCACACTGGAAGTCACACTTCACCAGACGAAACTGTTCATTCCTTCCATTTGAACCTAAACTCAAGGTGCGCCTTCCACCCGCACAGTCAGTGCCTTCCTTAACGAGGTTGCCAACTTCTCACTTTCCATCCAATTTCTCACCTTCGACCCACCCTCTTTCTCACTTTCAACCCCATCCACGCAGCTATTCTCACGGGGTATTTAAACCTCCTCATCGGACGGCTTGTCGATAAACTTTTCTTCCTCACATCCGCCTGCTCTCTTTCACTGCTTCTTCCACTACTGTGAAAACCACTACTGGGTGGGCCCGAAACTTTCTCAACACATCTACCTGCTCTCACCATCCGCACCGGTCGTTCCGACTCATACGTCACACAATCACATCCACGACACCTATCTCGGCGTCGCAACACAACACACGACATGGAAACCGACCAGGGAAATACACAGACAAATCAAGGCGGCCAAGGTCTTCAAGACGACGATACCAATATCGTCACGATGGAGCGCAACCAGTCGGCATCAGACCAGATGGCAAAGGCGGCTAGGCTGCTGAAGCTAGCGCTTTCCGACGCAGCCCAACAGCAGAAGCGGAAGCGATGCGACGAGATCGGGTCTCACGACTTGCCCCCTACGAAGATTCAGAAGAGATCAGGACCCTACTCGGAAGCGACCCGAGGCAAGTCTGAGACGAACGTCAGTGAAGAGTCAGACGTGGACACGAACATCGACGCATCGTCTGACCAACGACTCAACCTCAGTATCATAGCCGATACCTTCATCACTCAGAGTCGTGGCATTGCGTGGACAGGACCAAAGGCGGAAGACAGCACCAGGGAAACCCAAACCCTTTACCACGAGATCCTCTGTATGATAGAAGAGCCACTGGGCCCGGATCTGGACATCGCACTCCAACTTGCTGCAATAAATTCTTCAGCAAAAGAAAGGAAGGACATCATGGCGCCCTTCATGGAGAACCTGCAAAAGGAGCCTTGTCTGCGTCGTTTCGTTGTACGCCACGTCATTGATGAGGAGAAACGGTCAACGCTGGAGACTCGGGCGACGGAAGTCAACATGATGATTGCGATTCACAAAGCGACCGGACGCATTCCACTGGAGCGTAACGACGTTCTAGGCAAGTCAGCAAGACAGAAGTGGAAGACAGCCGCCTGGCGTGCGACAGCAACTGCTCTTGGTTCCTCGGACGAATATTTGATGCGTCTTTCCAGGCTCTATACACATTTCTACGCCGTCGAAAAGGAACATAGAGATGCGATGAGACGCACCCAATAGATGAAGTAGCTCTTGTGAGCCGTCACAAGACACAAGTGCATCATTCCCGGAACCCGTCTTTTTCAGTTGCGTTGTTACCTGCAGGGAATTTGGCGATATGGTTTGGACGGCATTTGGGGCGATTTAAGGGGATACGGAAGGGATTTGCGCGGGAGTTTTCTGGAACATGCGGCAGTGGTCAGTCTGCGCCGCCTTAATTTTCAAGACAAGACGTTATTTGCATAGACAGAAAAAAAAAAGTTGCATCAAACACTTCAGTTTTCATTTCATTGTGAGCACTGAAACAGTTGCGTCAAGTTGTCGCATAGAGATGAAAAAACTTTACCTATAAATGTACCTGTTCGTCGTCGCATACACGGTCCGTCAGACGAAAATCATACTGATGGGAGAGCGAGTTTCAGCGTAGCTTATCGTGAGCGATGGAAGTCACGGAGGTACTCTTGCAAGGTGTCCCATCTCTACCAAGGCCATGTCGAAATAGGAGCGTGTAAATACAGGTGAAGACTCCACCAGCCATGACGACAGACTACCCTGGTGATGATCGGGTGTTTTCAGATTCCAGATACAATCCTTGCATGTCTAATGGGCGCTAGGGGGAAGTTCTTCATGGTACGTTATCTTGGCCGTGACATGGGTCCTACAGAGAAGATGAGAGAAGATCTTTTTGAAGAGGATGATGAGCATACTAAAGTTGAATTCGCGGCTGCAGACGGAGGTACTATCTGCTGATGAGGAAGGGCTGGGTCTATATTCCCGTAGTCTCGCCAAAGAATCTATCAGCGGACAAGGCAATGTTGTCCACAAGATGAGTTTTACGTGCTTGTGCGCCGAGGTCGGAGGCAGTGGTCGGCTTTACTCAAATATATGACCCTCTGTTGAAGAAGTGGTCACCCGTAGTGAATTTTTGAAGCACAGATTCCTGACAGCTCGTTGTGAAGTTCCGTTGACGGTCTTTTCTGTCATTTGCTTGGGGGTATTCTGGATGGTATTATGACCTCGTTCGCCCCCCACGATTGGACTGCCTCCAGCAGGAGCCAGATGGCGAACATCGTTATGAGATGTTAGTTTTCTACCAGACAATAATGCCACGCAATCGGTGAAGTAATCAATCGCTGCTCAAGGCCATTGCTTGAGGGGCGAAGTACGCGTTAAATAGCTCAAATATTGCCTCTGAGGGCTCCCAGAGATTATGTGCAAATATTCAGCTGTGTAGAGTGGCTTTTCGTTCTGTTTCAGTGCCTCTGAAAGTCTTCTTTCGTCGTTTATTAGACTGTTGTCCGCAAATTGCTTCTCATGCTCTTGATCCAGGATGGTCTGAAGGCAGAGGCAACCAACAGAAGGCATAGGTGATTTGGAAGTCAACATGAATTATACAGGCGTATGTCATGAGTAGAGACAGATACACAGCCGAATGAGCAAGAAACTTGGGCGCTCGCGGACATGGCCGCTAGGACAAGACGTCGAATCACTCAAAAGTTTCGCGTCGGTTGGGGACTAACCGTTCAATGAAAGGCGAAAGCCAGTCCAGATGGAAAACACCTGGAACAGAAGCTGGCTGCTCTGATTTTTGCTGAGAAGCAAGTCTGCTGACCTCATTCCTTATAACTATTACCAAGATTATCCACCGAGACAACAAATGAGCACCAGACGTGACCTGTCCCTCGGTCAGAAATCGCCATGGACAATGAGAAGGCTAATGAAATATGACCCAGCCTACCAGAGGTAAAGAAAGAGGACTTGCCGCGTACCGTCGCGCCAATCTCTCCTTGATTACTATTTAAATGAGGTTATCAAGCCAGAAAACGACGATTTACCAACAATGGAAGTACCTGTCCCAGGTTGACCTCGTCCGCAAACACTCTTTACCGAGCTGTCTCAGGGTCAGATGTCCCGGCTGATATGGAACCTGTGACTTGAATGCATGATCACGTCCCCGGGGGCTTGTTCGTCGTCTTGAGACGGGTATTATTGACAATAAACCGACGGGGGCCAATATCCAGAGCTGGTCGAGTGCCCCTTTCGTCTCATCTCCTTGTGAAGTGTCATGACGACCAAATACAGAGAGCAATTGAACGAAATTCCTCAATCGAAGGAGTGTCGTATAATAAGCCTACCCGTCACAAATTCAAGCTTAATTCAGCAACACAATCATAGAGGATGTTCGTCTCAAAGGGTTTCTGGTCCAGAAATGCATCACTTTCAATCACTAAGCCGTGTACGTGCGTCCGGAAGATGATAAGATGACAGAATCTCTTCAATCGCTTCAGCGTCCGGCGTTTTCTTTCCATGGAATGCTTGAATAGTCCAGCAGGGGTAGCAATGTTTCAATACTCGATGCTCCAGGGCATCGAGAATCGGCAGAACGTCATTGGATTCTTTTTAGGTATTTGACCGAGAATTATTGTATAGATCACAACGCTGGCAACGATTTTGTTTTTCTAGAAAGTCTCAACAAGGGAATCACAAAGCTTTTATATGGCGGGCTCTGGCGCCCATGCACGAGCAAACATTTCTGTCGTCAAGCGTCGCTTCGGCCATTCGCCTTATAAATGACATCGTACCAGAAAGAATGAGGCTCAACAGAGCAAACCAAATGAATCTATTTGACCACAACGCGCGAAGGAAAGGTGGCCTGATAAGCTCGAGGACGGTGTTCAATGCGCTGGCTCACCAGCATCGCTAAATTTTCTCCACACCTCACAATGTTTGTCTCCGTGGTGTCTCTGGCCATTCACGTCAAAGTATTCCTATGAATATTCAAATCGTCGCTGTGGCTGGTCGACAGTCATCACGGTCTCGAGGGCGTTAAAAACTGGCATGGGCTTGCAGACTGGACGGCCGAGGCAGTGCGTGTGATGGCTTTACCCAAGCTCTCCAATACACGGACTGAGAGGACATCATGCCGAAATTCAGATTCGAAGACGACTAACATGTCCTTCTATATGCTGGATACATTAGAAGCTATTAGGAACGTTTGATGTATTGCTGAAACTTCAAATTCATTGAACATCTATATAAGCTTAGCCATTTCGCAAGAATTAGTAACGGCCTAGGAAATTGAACCTATGTAAGAAAATCGCTATTATAGCCTGTGACTACTCCTACACGTCTAAGCTATCGCTTATCTAGCCTCAAGATCAATAACCTGACGGCATAAGTTCTTCTCACGAACAGAGCTCACCCTCGTCTATTACTTTCGGCATCGTATTATTATATCTCTAACCGAATACCCACAGAATCGGTTCAGAGTTCGATAACCTCCATTTGACGCCGCTAAGGCTATGTGGAACGTTCGAAGCGAATATTTGTGGCGGGTTTCATGCGAACATACCGAAAAACTACATCATTTTTAGAGAACGTTAACGTCGAGGAACGAATTCAACATTATGTACGGTATAATCTGGCAATTTAAAATGAGTAGGGCGAGAGTACAGCCTCCGCGAGATCGTCAATGGTCGAGTTGACAACGGTACACTGTCCCTAAACCATGTCAGTGCTAGCAGGCAGCGGGAGCATGGGAATCTTGGCAGACAAGCTCGATCGAATGACTATATAAACGGTCTGCTCGGCTCGAAAAGCCTATGGAAGACACAATTACTCCGTATCCTACAGTTTCTTTTAAAAGCGTTTCTCATGAGATATGCCATACCGGGAAAATGATGTCGAATGAGTGGGTGGACGTGTTGTGTCTTTGATATCTCTGATCTGGCGTCATTCATCTCTGTCAACGATTTATTCTCCGAATATACGTGAAGTCTTGTCATGAATCGCCGGTGCACTTCTGTAGCCATCGCTCTTCAGCCGGAGAAGTCGCCCGCTCGCGACTCCCGATCTCGGATGGTAGCTCTAGTAGATCGTCAATTTGGATTGCGCTGGCCGGCTCAACGAGATGAAAATGCTCTGAGAGACGAGTTATATCAGAGGGAAAGTGCCGTGACTACTACTGCGCAGCTACCTATGCAGTACTCATCGAGAAGCCCCGCGTTGAAATCGGCTTGTTCGACAACTAGCCGGAGGAGCACAGCGCCGAGTGCTCGCACCCGCGAGGTGACGGCCAAGAACTTCAGGGAAAGCATCGCGTTGATCCAGTCCCGAGTCTAGTCCCGGCTGCTGTGAATCGGACACGGCAAAGGTAAGCCCTTTTACGTGGTGGTTGAGACTCCGCTGGTGGTGCCAGAACACCGTGTGGATATGACATGAGCTGCGCTTTCAAGTCCAGCGAGTGATACTAACTCAGCATGTCCCTTTCCTCTGCCTGAGTCGAGCAGAACCCGACGTGTAGTTTAGGGGCCATGACTTTATGCAGACCTAGGCTTAAAGGTGACTTAATATGGTTTCTGATGGGATGGCTTAGTCTCATGGCTGCAGTTTGTTAGTGTTTTGCCCAAGTCTTTGAGATTCTTATTTTCCATGTCACTTCATAGCTGCCTCGGTATGTCTCAGCTATTCCAGTGAGGAAAGAAAACCAAGGGGATATCAGTGGTTGGGATAAGACTCTCATAGGAACAGATTCCATATCCTACTCATTCTATTGAGAGCAAACGAAGTCTCGGAAGAAGTCTCTCTTCCTCGTCCTTTTTTCTAGTCCCCGTTATCCTCGTCGTCCCCGTCGTCCTTATCGTCCTTGTCGTCCTTGTCCTCGTCAGTTTCCCTCATCGTCCTTCTTCATAGCACAAGGCCATAGTATTCATCCTTCTTAGCTGGCTTGACTTGCTGCCATTCATCGTCATATGGAAGACCGACACGCTTCTCGCGGGTGAACCATTGCAACAGTTGAGAGAAGGAACGAAGGTCGATCATTTCGACTTCGCCATCGTCGTTGGTCACTGCAACAGCCTTCTTCTTGGCATCCTCTGGCTTCACTGTCTCGATGTCGCCGATGATGAAAAGACCATCAGTATGGCGGGTGATACCGACAGCGGAGCGCTGTCGCGAAGCGACGTGGCCGGCGGTGGACCCCCTCTCGACAGTGAGGACATAGAAAATGACGGGTTTTTCTCGGCCTCGGAATGTATCGGGAGTGTGGACCGTCACCTTTCTGTCGAGGCTTGGCTCTCCCTCGAGCAGCGACTCTAGTCTTCTGTTCATGGCCGCATAAGGGAAGATAATGCCGATATCCTCTGCATCGATCGTGCCATTGGATGCGTTCATCAGCTCGAGAATGAGTTGGATCGTCTTGTCGGCCTGCTGGATGTTGTAGCGCGAAGCTGTGAGCTCCTCAACCTTACATTGACACTGAACATGGATGAAGACCGGCTGGATTTTGCCCTTGTGCTGCTTGCTCTTGATGGTCTTGTACTTTGACACCGCCCACTTCTCTGCAGCAACAGCCTTGGGACGATTCGCGATGCCACAACTGTCGGCATATGTGAAGTCGCTCACATCGGGATAGAATACCTCGGATGCGGGATCGAAACCACCGTCAACGATGCGCAGCTGCTCGTTCAACACACAGGTGGGCCAACCAATGCGACGGAAACGTATGACGCTGCATGAGAAAGACTCGTCAGGCAACTTCGTCAACAAATTCGCTCGTCACCTTCGCGTCTCTGGAGTTGCCTGACGAGTCTTTCTCATGCAGCGTCATGACCGTTGGTGGAAGCTGGCGCTCGTCGCCAGCAAGGAGCCAGGCACGGAAGTTTGGCCAACCTAGGAGTGCTTGGGGAACATTCATGGCGCCAGCTTCATCAAGAACACTGGCCTTGGCGATCTGTCGAGTGAAACAGATGTAGGCGTTGTCCTTGGCGACGTGGGGAGTTGCGGCTAGGACATCAGCACGAGAGATGACGCTGGTCATCAGATTGCTGAGGAGGTTGTCTGGCTTCCGCATCAGGTCTGCATCGTTTGGACCGGGATAGTGAGTCTTCCATTCTGTGACGATGTCGTCCCAAGACTTCCCACCACCAAAGAAGCGGCGCAAGGGATCATATGCCGGAAGGGCGAGATATTGAAGGCGGAGATCGTGAAGCTCGCCAGAGTCATGAGTGTTGAGTCGATAGTTCCCGAAACCAACAATTTTGAGTACCCACTCAGCGACCGACAATGGCATCTGGAACACGCGCTTGGACCTTGGCAGCTGCTGTGAGTTGTAATGCGCAGTGCGGTTGAAGGCGTTGTTGACAGTGCTGAGGATGCGCTCATGCTCCAACTGGATGTTATGGCCACGAATGACGACGGCGTATTGGCGGTGGCGATGGCTGGGGAGGCTCTTGTTGTACTCATCGACGAATTGTCGGTTGAGCTTGTATGCGGCTGCACGCGTTGGAGGTGGCACCATTGGAGCTGGCATACACAAACAACTTATCGAAATCGTCGTGATCAAGCAGAATGTTGACAAGTGTAGAAATGACATCAGTCTTGCCGGCTCCGGGAAATCCAGTGACCATCAGGACGCCAAGGGGCACAGCTTTGAGATATTTTTCGAGGCGCTGACGTGTGACTGGACGCAGGCGAGATAGGACAAGCTCGCAGAACCGCTCATCTCTTGTCGAAAGGAAGTTGATCGCTGGAATGGTGCCGTGCTCTCTTGGCGCCAACGGCTTGATCGGGTTAGAAACACAATCTTTGTAGAATTTCTCCAGTGTGGAGGCGAACAGCCGATCTGTGAAAAGAGGAGCTCCGGTACGAGGGCTGGAGGCTGCAGATAGAGGCTGAGCAGGCGTGGGACGACGCGGGCCAAACACTAAACCGCGGAGGCCGTTTCCCTGAATGAACTGCTGTTGCAGCTCTTGCTCGAATTCAAGCCGCTCCATAACCAAAGTCTGCGTGAGAGACTGCTCAGACGCGATGGCATCCTCGGCATTTTCGGACTGCTCTGACTGAACGCGGTCGGGGTCAGGAAGCGGAATGTTCAAGACATCCGCTGGGTCGTAGGCTATGTCAGACTCTAATTCGTTCTTCAGCCTGTCCCAAGATAAGAGACGATGAACAGCATCGACGAGGCGTTTGTATGTCGAAAGATTCAGATCGATCTTGAGGAAGGCGGTCTCCTAGATGCCGCCTGTGTCTTCCCAAGTGTTGTACGATTTGAATGGCAGCTCAACTTTGGCATCGGCGTCTCCAGCCACCTTGGTAGCTTCAGGGCGTTGCACAAGCAGAACGAAGTTGCCTGTGTGGTCGAGCTCCGAGACAGACGGATTGACGACAGTTCCTGGCCAGTAGTTGACATCATCCGGCATGGGGTCCCTCAGCTTCAAGGGCTTTGGTTTGGGCTGGAACGCGATGCCGACCGAGTCACCGAGCTGGGCTGTGCGACGCAGAGCTTGTCCGTACTCGGCACGCTGCAGAGGGAGGTTAGTCACTGGACAGAGACGACAGGAAGAGTTGGGTGACTTACGAATTCATCTGATAGAAGCATGACGGCGTACAAGAGCTGGCCAGGCTGGTCTTCATCTCGGCTGAGCCGGAGGTAGCGGACCTTGATGGGAACGTCGCGCATGACTTCGACCTGTCGGATCAGGTGAACGATGTCTCCAGCAACAGAATGCACCAAGCTGGTCGAAACATGACGGAATCGCGAGTGCGAAAACATTTCGATGTGCTGATCCGACAGAAGGCCCTGGCCAGCGGCTTCATCCCACTCCTTCGTGAAACGTGCCACATTCCAATCAGGCCTATGAGAGAAACACGAGGTTAGTAATTGATGAAACAAGAAACATTTGGGGAAGATGGCATACCTGTTGCTGAAAGGGTCGTACGAGAACCTGTGCTCTTTCACGATTCTCAGGATCGAGGACACCTTTTTGTACCAGTCCCCAACCTTGACCAGGCAGGTGAACTCCTTTGTGCCGTAGCAGAGTGAATTCAGACTGATGCTGCCTTTGATGGGCTGGCCACGGTGCAGAATGCCGGCGTATTGCTCATCAGCGGCGAAAGGCAAGGGGTAACCGTCGATCGCGGGTCGGCCGGTGATTTTGATGGCTGTCCAAGCTGTATCTTTCTGATGTTTATCAGGAACGTATTGCCGGTACTCTGAGGGGAGCTCGCCGCATTCTTTGGTCTGCAAATCAAGTTGGTCGGCGAAGAACTTGAGCTTAATGGTAATGACATTGCGAATTTGGCCAGCAGAACGGCTGCGAGTGGCAACGACACCGTCAGATTGCAGGATGGGGAAGGTGAGTGAAACGCCAGCATATGCTTCAACCTGAGCCGGAGCCGCCCAAATGAACTCGGTCTTGATCTCGCCCTCATGACCGATGGATGGGCTACTACCACCGATGAACAGTTTGTCTTTTGGGAAAATAAGGACACACGCCTTGGACTTCTCGTTGGCGACGTAGGAAGCCATTTTGGGTAATAGTTGGCCAAACACGGAGGTAAGGACCAAGGAAGGTAAGAATGGAAGAAATGGTGAGGTAGACGAGCAGGCGCTGGTCTCAAAAATGGGTAGGGGAATAGCGCGAGCTCTTGAATTCGTCGAATGGAATGATGTAGAGTGCAACGATTCTCGCTAACGAAGTGCTTTGAAGATGAAATCAGAGTTGGCGATCGAAAGTGTGGGAGGTGAAAAAGGGAAAACAAGACCAAAAAAAAGAATTCTTCGCTTGTATTCGCTAAGAAGCCTGCCTATCTAAGCACTCAGGACAGGATAGGAAAGAACACACCGGTCCTCACCGACCCGACTTCCTTCCTTCTCTGCTTCCTCGCTTGTTATACCTAGGTACCTCAGATTCGTTGCTAAATATCCACCCACACGTGACGTAAGGAAACCGCCTGTATGTCTGCGTTTCGGAAAGGTTGTGTTATGCCTTGCCTTAAGCTGAGTTGACTTTCGGGTTCCTGTTGAGAAGGCGAGCTGAGTTTGGTTCCGGGGAGCACGTTAAATCCCTCGTCTGAATACAGCTGGCATTGCGCTCAGCCTCCAACGCCCTGTCTTTGGGCCTAGATATCTAGTACACGTCAAAGATTAGGTGCAGCTTGGGAGAAATAGACGGTCCACACCGCCGTTCTTGCACTTGCTTTTGGTTTGATAACCTGCGGCATATCGGATACGTAAGCCAGTTGGAAGGACATGTGCCTCGGGAGCTCTAGGAGGCAGAGGTTTAGAAAGCGCATCGAGAAAGGTTTGCAGACCGTTTTCACCATGGAATAAAGCCGAATCAGGTGACGGAAGACGGCAACATAAGGTCAAAGACGCCATGGAAGTTGGTGTTGTTTTACTCGGCCAATCAGCCACTCGGCTGGGGCCTTCCAGTTTCACAAACATCAACCCTCAGTAGATACGTAGCGTTGAGTAGCTTTTTACGTACTGCGTTCCCCATATCTCGCTGGCTATTATGGTGGCTAGGGATAATGAGGGGTGTGTGAGTATGTGGTGATTGCTTGGTGGTAGAGAGGCCAAGGTTTCTGCATCCCCACGTCCCCACGATAACCAACAGAGGCCAAAACGAAGAGCCTGCCATGCATGGCAATGGGCCCCTAAACTGTAGAATCTACTTATAAGTATTTCTCCGGTTATTTTAGTGAGAAAGATAACTAGGGAATATCAGTGGTTAGGATGAGATTCTTATAGGAAGAGATTTATTCTATTGAGAGTAGATAAAGCTTGAGAAAAAAAAATCCCTTTCTTTGTCTTTCTTCCTTATCCTTCTTCCTCCTTCCCTGTCGTCCCTGTCGTCCCTGCCGTCCCTGTCGTCCTTGTCGTCCTTGTCGTCCTTGTCCTCGTCATGATCCCCCATCGTCTTTCTTCATGACATAAGGCGTACATAATACGGAGACTCGACACCGTATTCAAAATTTCGGGACTGCCTGCCAAAATCGGGATTTACTACATGATCAACTCACTACGAGCTTGCGACAGTTGCACTGTACCCAAATGTAAGTCGAGGCTTTGCGACATGTCAACGTTTTGCAACAACTCAGCATGTCTACTGCGACGTTTATGAGGTGCTATGATGAATAGGCAACTTCTTAGTCAGAGATGTTAGGCCTGCGCCGTATCAGTGCTGTGCTGTACTTAAGCTTGTCCGATAGGTAGTGTGTGACAACAATCGTAAGTCACTTTTTAAGAGACATCAGCAACCTAGTGAGTAACGCTTCACTTCAAAGAACCAATGATTGCGCAGTAGCATCTTTTAGAAAAACCAGAAGAGGGTCTGCGCTACCGCCAGTGCCGGCACGCTGAGTAAAGTGGGGCTATCCGGAGTGACCGACCCACCCGGCGCCGGGCCGGCCGGGCCGGAACACACACACCAACCTCACAATCGCCACCACGCATGCAACGGAACAATTTTGAGTTATTTGGTATCATTCAAACTTGGTATTGCACAGTTACGTAAAGGTCATGTACACATTTGCGCCAGAAGTCCCCGCTTTTCATTACCTTTCCTTCCCGATCCCTTAGAACAGGGCGCCGCCCAGACGGATGGCGACGGACTTGTTCTGGGTGTAGTTTGCGAGGGCGGCCTCGCCGAGTTCTCTGCCGATTCCTGATTCTTTGAACCCGCCGAACGGGACAGAGTGGTGAAGCATGTTATAACCTAGGTGCAGGCGCTTTATTAGCATGCCGTTTGGAGGCTTTGAGGAGTTTGTGTGAAGTGGTGAGGTGACCCGGCGATCCCGGAGGTCGTCCAAGACCTCCGGGCGGGGGAAGGCGGGGGGGCACGGGCCACAAGGGACAGTGCGGGGTAGAGTGGGGCAGAGAACTTACAGTTAACCCAGACGGTACCAGCCTTGAGCTTGTTGCCGACGCGGAGGGCGGTGTTGAGGTCCTTGGTGTGGACGGCGGCGGCCAGGCCGTAGTTGGTGTCGTGGGCGAGCTTGAGGACCTCCTCCTCGTCCTTGAACTTGGCGATGGCGCAGACGGGGCCGAAGATCTCCTCCTGCATGATCTTCATGTCGGGGCGGACGTTGGAGAAGATGGTGGGCTGGATGAAGTAGCCCTTGTCGCCGTGGCGGGCGCCGCCGGTCTCGATGGTGGCGCCCTCGTCGGTGCCGGCCTTGATGTAGCCCATGATGCGGTCGAACTGCAGCTGGGAGACCTGGGGGCCCTGGAAGGTCTCGGGGTGGAACGGGTCGCCGACCTTGTTGGCCTGGGCGCGCGCCTTGAACGCCGCGAGGAACTTGTCGTAGATGTCCTCCTGGACGAAGATGCGGGTGCCGGCGCAGCAGCACTGGCCGTGGTTGTAGTAGATGCCGAAGTTGACCCAGGAGATGGCCTGCTCGATGTCGGCGTCGTTGAACACAATGTTGGGGGACTTGCCGCCGAGCTCGAGGGTGACCTTCTTGAGATTGGAGCTGGCGGCGGCCTTCATGATCTGGCGGCCGACGACGGTGGAGCCGGTGAAGGCGATCTTGTCAATGTCCATGTGGGAGGAGATGGCGGCACCAGCGACCTTGCCGAAGCCGGAGATCAGGTTGAAGACACCAGGGGGGAAACCGGCCTCCTTGACGAGGTTGGCGAAGACGAGAGCGGACAGAGGGGTCTGCTCGGCGGTCTTCATGACGATGGTGTTACCGGTGGCCAGGGCGGGGCCAATCTTCCATGAGAGCATGAGAAGGGGGAAGTTCCAGGGGATAATCTGACCGCAGACACCAATCTGTTTGAGTTGTTAGTTGTCGTCCCTCTTCTCAACTTGTAGGCTAACTCACAGGCTCGGGGCGGGTGTAGTGGAACATGTCGGGGGCGACGTCAATGGTCTTGCCCTCGATCTTGTCGGCCCAACCTCCGTAGTACCTCAAGCAGCCGACGACGGCACCGACGTCACCCTTGGCCATGGAGATGGACTTTCCGTTGTCGAGAGACTCGACGGCGGCGAGGAGCTCAGCGTTCTTCTCGGCGAGGTCGGCGAGCTTCAGCAAATAGAGGGAGCGCTGGTTGGGGGTGGTCTCAGCCCAGACACCCTCGAAGGCCTTGCGGGCGGCAGCGACGGCGATATCGACATCCTTCTCGGTAGCCTCGTGGACGGAGCAGATAACCTCCTCGGTGGAGGGGTTGATGACCTCGAAGGTCTGCTTGTCGACACCCTCAACCCACTCGTTGTTGATGAACCTGTCGAATGCTGGGTTAGCCAAAGCTTCACTCGTGTGTAGAGGGGCATGTTGTCGCATACAGTCCAGTGGGCTGGGTGTAGGCGCCCGTCACCGGGGTCTTGAGCTCAACGGACAAACCCATGGTGATAGTTGTGTGTAAGAACAGATAAAACAAGTATTGGTATCAAGGTATCACAGATAAAAAGAAAAAAGTTCGTGAAATGGGTTTGGTTGTTGAGAGAGTCGTGAGAAGTGAGGGAGGAAAGATGAGAGTTCATGTCCGGGAGAGCTGGGGACGACAGGACTGTATATAAAGCGGGGTATGGGGGACAGACAGCACAGCTGAGGGAGGAGAGAAGTCCGCGACAGTGACGCCAACGGGGATTCAGCGTCGCGAAGCCAGTCATCAATGTCGGAGGCGAAGGCAGTGTGGATAGACCTTAGCGTGGGTAGCTCGGCGGGGGGGAGGGTGTGCGGATGGGGATGGGTATGGGGGGCTAAGGAAGGGTGAGGGGGGATGGAGTTGTGCAGAACAATCAATCCCGAGGCCTGGTCTGCGGAACCGCAGATGGACATTGGACAAACATGCACATCCATGAAGCCGCACAACGTAAAGCAATGACTCTGGGTGGACTGCACCAGACGCAGACTCTCCACAGGACGCATCTGCATGCTGTATCTGGATGGAGCACACAGATAATTTCTAGGGGACTTTGGGCCCTTTGGCATGTGTAGACAGCAACCAGACAGCAGACAGCAGACACAGAAACACAAACAGAGCACACAGACCTGGGGTGTGACCGGGGTCGCAGCGATGGAGGGGCAAAGGGGAGAGGGCCACCCACAGCAGCCGGGCCTGGGGGACGGGGACTCTGAGGTGCGCCTCCTCATGCAAGGGAGGGCCAGCCAAACGGGGGATAGTGGGCGCCGCTTCGGGCCAACGCCTGTTCCTCTCGGCCACCTCGAGACGAGTCCCCCGGTCCCCTACGCCCAGCATCGACTTGAATCCCGCCTCTCCAGCCGAGCGGTCATCTTCCATCCACGCGCCAACCTCCAGACGAGAGGTCTTTCGGTGTTAAACTACAGCAACAGAGACCCGTGTGTCGGGCATTAGGAAACCCCAGGGCAGCGAGTTGTTGTGTGTGGATGATGCCTGTTGATTCGGCTCAAGCGTGTCGAGAATGGCACCCAACTGCGGTGCTAATTGAGTTCCCCCAGCCCAGCCCATCTCTCCCATCCCCCGTTTTCCCCAGATTGTTAGTCGCCGAAACCAGAAACCATAATCGCATGATAGGAGCAAGGGAAATTAGACGGGCTTGCATCTTTCGTACTGCGTGTCTACAGGAGGATAGGGTATTGTTGTGCCGTTGCTGTGCCTTTGCCACACACACAACAACAAGAGGCCTGTACTGTACTGCGTATCTCCAGACCCCTCCCTCCCCCTCTCCGCTTAACCCCTCTTCGGGGCGGTTGTCACCCCGCATTTCTCCATCACAGCTTGCGTCTTCCATCTGGGAAGTGGCCAATCACAGCTGTCCAAAAAGGCTCGTCTGTCTGGAAGCAGCAGCCACACCCGCTTCAAAGCGGTTCATCTCTGGCACATTTATGGAGTGATTGCATAGCAAATACGTTGAGGACACCGGCAAGAGTTGCTGTGACTGGCCAGGGCTCGATCTGAAGGACACGCTATGACAAATGCGCCGCCCCTGTGCATCTCTTTGGGGGCGTGTCACCTAGGGAACAGACGGGTTCCCGCGCTGATCTTGCTTGCACAGAAGACCAGACCAGACTGGACCAGCGCACATCGTGGGCCACCGCGTCGCAACTTGACCGTAATACCGTTGCAGTCAATGGCTGTCCTAGGTCCTTGGGTTGTCGATAGTGTAGAGCAGTATGCCTGCTTACGGTGCTTAGCAATGCACTATCAAAGCTGAAAGAGAAACTACCCCAGACTGTGAGGAAGATCATGTTGGGAACCACAACGAATCATCAGTTCTGGATGGACGGAAGCATCCCGCAGGATTACTTGGACGATGCGAATCAGCAACTGCAGTCAGCAAGCAACTCGCCTTACCCTTGAGTGCCTGATGCCCTCTCTCCGAGTCAGAAGAAAGGCAGTCGGCATATGGGACGAAGCTCTGTCCCTTTTGTGCCTGTTGCCCGTCTCTCCAAAACCCGCGCCAAAACCCGTCTGGAGCCCCGGGATGAAAAGGCTCTGTAGCGTTCCTCCGCTTTCTTTCCCCTCCAACCCCACCTCTTCCACCCACCTTGACGACATACACACGTTGGTGGTGGTCGTGGTGGCTGGCCCTGCCTGCATGCTGCTGCTGTGCTCCGTAGCACCTTGAAGGTTACTATTAAGTTTACCTTGAGAAGCGGAGGAATGACACCAGGGGGCGATGCGATCCACCATTCTCCAAGTTGTTGCTAACGCCGCAAGCCGTGATCTTGTTAGGAGATAAGCCTATCCTCAAGAGGCCGACCGGATCGTGAGTTCGGGCGATACTGCGGTGCTTTATGCCACGAGGCGCGAGGTGAATTGCCCCTCCTCACGCTGCTGCTGTGCTGCTCTCGGGTCGTCATTACTGCTGTTTGCCGGGTGCCTCAGTCTCGGCCCAAAGCCCAGCGAGATCCCTTTTTCTCTCGCTCTCGACTTCCCCCGCACCAGAAGAGCACTTGGAGGGTAGAGACAGGGGTGTCTCCAACATCGGGGGATGTCGGTATATCATCCTGCAAACGCCGCGTCGGCGCTTTCTCAAGTTTCCACTGCTTGCCTTTTCGCTCGCCTCGCCCCCCAGCTGCTGCCGGGAACCCAGAGAAAAAAGTCTGGGCGCTCGCCCGCCCAATTTCTCCCTCTCAGATTCTCCTACCGAAGACCCCTGCTCGATCGCTTCCTTGTCTCCGACATCATTCGACAGCAGCGAATCCTCTTGGCCGAAGCTGTTGGGGATTTTGTGGGGACCTGCTCGGTCTGATGGCAGTTTCACGGCTACACGGAGCTCCAGTCTTTTTTGGTCTCTTTTTGCTCTGGCTGGCTCACCAACGCGTGGGTTTCCGGACGTGGAGCAAAGGGACGGGGTCACGGAGAAGGACCGATCCCCAAATGTGTGTTCTTCTGGGGAGAGGACGCAAATAGCATCTCGCCTCGAAACTTTATTTGTCGTGTCATGTCCTGAATAATTCGTCTCGCAAGAAAGCCGTCACCTGCGTTGTATGTTGGTGTCGTGTGCACGCATGGCTTTCCTTTGGCGATGCTAGCCGCGCATTGCCCCTCCGGAGCGGCAGCAGCGGCGGCGGCACGCGGCGCCAAGATCCGACTCGTCACGTCCTCAGGTTCCGATAAACTGCCCGGTTCCGATTGCCAATGTGACAATTGCTGTTCATGCTTGGCCATGCTTAATTCCGGGCCCGGGTTGGGTTGATGATTTCCGATCTGCTTGGTCATAATTCCATAATTCCACGAGTTTGCGGTTTCTTGCGCGGAACCCGAGAGGAATCGAGCTGCATCCGAACCGTGACCGGCGGCGCAGGAGCCGAGACATTGGTTGCAGGCGTTGTTGTCCTTGTGGAGACTAACAGTGAGGCTTCTCGAAGCCAAGTTTTGTTGGCCAATGATACTTATTGCTGCTCGTCCGTCCAATAGTCGGGTTGCGATGTCCTTGGAATTGGTCACTCTGAGAGGTCGACTGGGTTCGGAAGCTATCCTGGCTTGTCCTTGTTCCCCGCATTCGCAGCTTATTCAGAGGGACTGCCTCCAAAAGCCGCAATGTGACTCGGTACGGCAGTCCTGTCAGATCTGGAGCGTGGGCGTCTGTGAGTATTCTGGGAGGTGCACGTGTGACAAGAGTTCGGTCGAAACATCAGAGTTCGTTCTTTAGGGTCCGTTCTTCAGCAACCGTGTTTGACACTCACGGACATGAGAGCAGCTTCAAACTGGAGGAATTTGTACGTACGTACATGTCAATGTGAAAAATGAAGGTGAAGCTGTATACATGATATGGCTGCGATGCTTACTAGTGTGCGGATCAAGCATCCAGAGGCTCAAAAGACTCCTACCCTACTATGCGGGAGCTGGTCACCGCAGATGCCCAACGCCACAAACCCAAACGGAACCTCTTGCCTGGGCCATGACTTCGGTTGCTGGCTAGAATAACACCGCTGTGTAACGCTTCCCAGCCATTTGACCCTAGGCTGACAAGGGTGGATGCAGTGTCAACGTTGGCATCGATAAGTATGGGAACCGGCCACTCGGGTTCTTGACGTCCTCGACGAATCAGAAACATGAACACTTACATGACATGGGCCGGCCAAAAGGCAAACGCGTCTGCCGAGCCGCTGGCTCCTAGCACGTGGTGTTCTCCTCGTATGTCGGCTTGTATGATCCCGGCAAGTCAGGACTTGAAAGAGGGTTGGAGGGCTACCGCATGATAGCCCGAGGTGATAGCAGAGGAGATGATTTAGACGATGGGGAAGTACATGATATCAGGGACTGTGGGAAATGTAGTCGCCTCAGCAGCGGAAACCCAGCTGATGTCCTCTTCTGCTCGGCAATGTATGGTCGCTCTTGCCCTCCCAGCTAGCGGTTTAGCGCCAAGCATGTCATGTGTTAACATTGAATGGTTGGCACGATTAGCAGTGCCTGTGCTAGAAACCATCTCATGTTGTTTGGCAGCGACCACACGCACGAGGAGAATTGATACCAGCCAGGTTTGGTGGGACCGGCATTGCTCACCATCAAGGCCTTGGCATTGGCGTTCTTGCCAATTCGACCAGAGGAGGCTTGAATCCCAGTAGCTTTGCTGAATACATGATTCGGTTTTGCCAAACTTGAGCCAATTCGTCAATTGCATTAAGAGCGTGTTCGCAGACAAGCAAGACGGCAGTATGTGAGCAGAGGAGAGTAGCTGTGGTATTCAACAAACACCTGAGATATATGACACCCAACCGAGTTGGCGATTGAGTGAATGTGATACTGAAATCAAAGCCGTACATAAAGATCCGTGTCTGTGAGTATTGGACGAGGTGTATATGCTAGTGGGATGACATGCACTCAGAGCTGGGGTGAGAACAAACATGCTGCTTCTGTCCGATGGCGCAGTGTATAATTCCAATTTCGTCGTTCCCATTGACCTGCAGGACTTCCTGCTATGCCTGGCGGAAGGTCGCATACAATGTCTCGCTTGCCCGGTCAAACGGTGCCTGACTTACCAGCTGCGGGGCCTTCTGAGCCGGACTCACGGGAGCATCGACGCTACCGTAGACTAGGTAGGACGACGTTTGGACGCTTTGCCCCATGAAAACCCTTGCTCACGTATGGATAGCCATCATCTCGAACCCTGAGAGCTGTTTGCTTCCCATGTTGCCAAGGGCGAAGCTCCAGGACCCCGGCGGTCTCGGGTGGCAGAACTGGGCCAGTAAGCGTCCATCTTGATTCGCCGCCTTAAGAGCTGGGAAGACACATGTGACTGGGATCTGTCTTTCGATGAGAATCGCAAAGAATGACGTCACGGTAGATCTCAGTCTGGATGGCAATGAATTGGAGTTGCTGGCTGTCATGAGGAAAGACAGCATCGACTTCACCTGAACCTCTTCAAGCCCGCAGGTCCATATGCGGTTAGAGCCTGAGAAGAGGCATTCACTGGATAACAAGTCCCAGGCTGCATTGATGGAGTTGCATCAGCTACCAGACTAAAAAATCGGAAAAACCTCGAAAAGGAGGGGCTGGGATTGACATCTTAACTCGGCAGGTTGGTGACTGCGGCTCCGAGGGGCAGAGGCGTCGAGAAAAAAAAAATTCCTGCGATAAGTGACTTGACCGGGATGAACGCACAGACCATTCTCATTTTTCCGTGATCCGGCCAATCACGACGCCCCTTTTCCCGGCGACAAGCGGTGAATTTTCCCATCTGAAGGCAGGATCTTGTGTATCGGGAGTGACATCTTCTTTGGGGCAGATTATAAGGGCATCGGCGCTCGGATTTTCTCCCAAAAAGTTTTTCCGCCCAATCTGCAAGAACAGCAAAGATCACGATACCGCCCGCCAAGGTGCTACACGCCCTCCAAACCACCCCGAAAAGCTGTCTCCGTGCTTCCAGATGCTCATGGAGGGCATTGAAGCTATTGCCGAGGCGGCGCAGCCTCCAAAGGCGGAGGCGCACTCGCCGACAGGTACGCCTTGGCCTCCCACCTTCCCCGGCCGACGAACTTCTTCACCAGCTTCGGAGACCTTGATAGCGACCACCAAGAGCCCAAAAGACAGTCGAGGAAGGCGCTGACCTGGTCGCAGGACCCGAAATGAAGCAGGAATCCCCGAGTCTTGTCACCGATCTGGGCGAGACCCCCCAATTCCCACTCAAGCGACCCCGCGATTCGAGCGCAGACGATCCAGATGCCGAGTCCAAGAGGTTAAAGGTTGACGATGAGGGTCCGCCTTTGGATCTCAACTTCGATATGGACGCTATGATTCAGGGCGTCATGATGGACATCAACAACGAGATGGGCAAGGTCGACGGTCTGGATTCTGTCCCGGACGTGGACATGTCCGGAGACCCTCTTGGATCCGTGTCGCAAGAGCCTCCCCAATCCACCGAGTCCCATACGCCTGTCCTCTCCGAACCTCTGGCCTTGATGCGACGGACAACTACCACTTGTTTGTCAAACTTTGTACGTGGCGGTCTCGTCAGTCTTGGTGGCACCGCTAATGCTTTCCCCGTCTGCAGGCCCTGCAGCTGCTTGTGATCCTGTCGCAACATGTCTTCGACGACGTATACCAACAATTACAAGAGAAGGACTCCGAAATCTCCAAATCCTTTGCCACGATAAAGTCTCTGTTCCAACAGACGAGAGCGATCTACTCGACTACCGACCTTATCCTGGATCCTGCCACGCTGGATCTTACGATGCCGGACAACCTCACCGATGTCCAAGTCGCAAACCTTGCGAGTTTTTGCTGCGCGCTCTTTTCGTTTGATGGACACCATGATTCCACCTCAAAGGAGCTGCTCGCTTTGCAAGATCACTTCTTCTCGGTTTTTCTGCCTGGTGGCGAGCACGACATGGTCACGCAAGAGATTTCTGATCTCTTCGTAGCCGTCAAGACACATCTCGTCATTGACGCAGTCACGACAGCCGACCAGTCAGCACCGGTTGACCAACTTATTGCTGATGCTTTCTCTGCTGATTTGGAGGATAAGCTGCGCGCAAGGCACGGGGGCTCAACTTTGACGACTGAGGAGCAGTCACTGGTCACTGCTGTGCAAGAACGAAAGGCGGCTCTGATTTCATACGCCTCGGGTCTCCCAGACACCGGTAAGAAGTTCGGCAACCTCTTTCTCTGTGTCACTGCTGAAAGGTCACGTACAGTTCTTCTCAAGATCGGCTACCCAGACGAAGACCTTTTCCGCTTACTTAACATGTACCTGCGCCGCAAGCTGCAATCTCTGGCAGGTCTTGCTTCAAGACACGGCATTGAGCTTCCGTCAACAATGTCGAACGGCGACCTGGACGCATCGGTATCTCACGATTTGGATGATCTAGGAATCAACTCCTTGCTCGAGGCAACAGACGGCCTCGTTGCACAGTACCTCCCGACCGACGCCATCGATGGCTTGCCTCACGACCCTCAGCCTCCCGTCCCGTCGACCGAGACCAGTGCTCCTCCCGCAGAGCCCGCCGCCGCACCCGCACCTGAAGCCCCCCCTCCTGCGCCGACAACGAACGGAAACACGGCCGAAGTCCAAGACTCAACGAACGATATCCTTGCCCTGGTCGCGCAAAGCACACAAGAATACGTCCGAACAACCCTCAACAACCTCTCGCCAGCACCGTACCAACCGACAGTACCAACGCCCACGGGAGCTGCTCCCGTCACACAAACGACGTACCTTTCACACTTGCAACAAACCCAGGCTCAGTCACCGTACTATGGCTACCCTCCGCCAGTCGAGCAGCCACCTCCGCCGGCACAGCACGATAACTCAGAGAAGCTGCCCCCCAGCCAGTCACTGCCTAGCGCAGTGCTCTACGACAGAGCCAGGCAAGCGGCGCTGAGCAAGACGAACAACCAGCAGAGGAGAGAAGGAACTACGTCAACAAGACGTCCCTGGACTCAAGAGGAGGAGAAGGCGTTGATGACCGGTCTGGACATGGTCCAGGGCCCCCACTGGAGTCAAATCTTGTCGCTCTTTGGTGCTGAGGGCACGCTCTCGAACATACTCAAAGACCGGACTCAGGTGCAACTCAAGGACAAGGCGCGAAACCTGAAGCTCTTCTTCCTGAAGACCAACTCAGAGATGCCGTACTATCTGCAAGCCGTCACCGGTGAACTCAAGACGAGAGCGCCGACTCAGGCAGCCAGAAAGGAGGCCGAAGAGAGGGCACGCATGAACTCAGAGGAGGAGCAGGCGCGTGTTCAAGGAATTATGACTCTTGCCGGTGGCCTTCAGCATCCTCAGCAAAACCGCGCGAGCGCGACACCAGCTACTGCGCCCAGCACGCCCTCGCAGTCCGCAGCCCAAATGTCACATCATCTCGCTCATGCTACTACGCCAACACATGCCGCTGTTTCCGGGCCACCAGCGACACCCGCCACGGCCACGCCAACCCACAACCGTGTACTGCCGGCTTCCTCACCTTATGCGGCAACAGCAGCTCAGCTTTCCCACACACCTCATGCCCTGTCACAGCCACCTCACACTCCGACACATTCCCACATCCAGCATCACTCTCAACCTGGAACGCCGCAGCCGCAGCAGCACCAGCAGCATCAACCACAGCAGCATCATCAGCAGCCTCAGCAGGAGCATGTTCAGCCGCAGGTCTCTCAGCCGGCCGAGGCTACCCCCCAGTACTCCACCGACGCCTCTGCGCCTGTGTATAGCCAGCAGAATGATGACCTGAAGGAGGCCGCTCTTATGCAGAGCCTGCGCGAACTCGAGGCGTACAGTAGCAGCGCCAGCTTGTCTTAGAGCGACGAGCAAATCAACGCTCAGTACTTTTATCAACCCCACATCCTCCACGACTACAGCGTCAACTATAGCATGACTTCGCAAACCTTGACCGACGAGGTTTGTAACGGCAACGGCACTCAGAAGTATCTCGTCAACAACGAGATCTGATGCCGGATGCTTTTTTCCAACAGTGTTAATACGGATACGGGAGATATCGATTCGCGCAGGATCATGTTCGGCCTTCTGTGGAAAACCCCGTCAGCGCCTGTCTACACATGATTTTGGGATACCAGAACATGGGCAAGTTCAGCGCGAGGAGAGAGCGCAGTCATTCCTGAAGAGCGATTGTTCTTTATAGAATTATATTATATGGAGAGGTATTATGGGCATTTGTCTGTTTTTTTTTTCCAAAAGCGACGTGGGGGGGAGGGAATTGGAGAACCAAAAAAACAAAAGTTTACAGAGGGAAAGAAAAAGCAGGGGCGGCACCAAAAGCGATTTTCTTGTTTGCTCATGATACCACGAATGACACAGAGAAAAATGGGGTAGGCGCGACGGATGGAGAAAAAGCGCCTTCAAGTCAGGGATAAGAAGATTACTGCATAGCGATAGGGAACGAATAAAAACGGCAAATTAGTGCAGTAAAGGTGTTTTTGACGTCACATGATGAAACGCGAATCCATGTTCATGATATAAAAAAAAGTCGCTCGCGTTCCGTAGGCCTGGTAGAGCCGCGATTGATCGCGAGCGTCTTGGGGGTATCCCCAGCAATCTATCCGAGACTTCTCCTGGGCTCGACGAGGCTCGTCACTAGAAAACACCTCGCTTCAAACAAGTCACGCAAGATTCTCGGAAAATGCAATACAGACGGCCATTTTCATCTATCGAACAAAAAAAAAACTACACAAAGTCGCATCTTAATTCCAACGCATGTCCAGCGAGTACTACCTACAAATCTGCCTCACCAACCTCCATCAACATTATCGAACGAGTTCATATCCTCACCGAACTTGGGCATATCCGACGACGCCGCCTCGAAGCACGGCCATCCCGTTGTGCGCATGAATTCCAGAGCAGAGACCTTGGCCTCGGGTCCGAAGCGGTTATAGTAGTCGCCCTTGTGCGGTCCGTCCTCGTGCGTCTTGAAGGGACCGATTCCGCTCCAGGGAGTCTGGCCTTCTTTGCCGGCCATCGCACAAGGCCTCATCGTGTTGCCCCACACGATCACGGCGTCTGACTTGGAGAGATGGGTGGCCTCGTCGAAGACGACCGCACCGGCGGACCTCCAGAACTTGTCGTAGGGAACGTCTCGAGATACGTGGGGTGTCGTGCAGAGCGCATCAGCGACGTTCAGGATGTCGACCATGAGAAGTTGTATCAGTTTGTGGGGCCAGACCTCTTTCTTCAATCTGGCAGCTTGCTCCTCAGCGCTAAGCCCTTCTTCTTCCTCGACATTTTCCTCATTGAGTGTGGCATCTGAGCTTGAAGAGTCGTTGTCCTTTTCTTCGTCCTGGTCAATGGTGAGCTCTTCGGAAAGAAAGTCGGCAAGAGTGGCGGTCTGCGGCTGGTTGTCAGGATAGTGAATAGGATCAAACTCCTTGACCTGCCAGAACTCGATATCGTGGTTTACAAAAGCGCGCAAGCCAACGTAATCAGCGCTGGTCTTCCACTTGTGACGGATTTCAAGCAGTTCAGGACGGTCCAGCTGGTCCAAGTCAAATTCGTCATGCTGCACAATCTTGAGAAGCCACTCGCAGAGCGAAAAGGGTCGGCTCCAATGTCTTGGATCCCAGATCAAGAGATCGCCCTGGATCATTTTGATAAAGGACTCCACCTCAGAATGAATGTTACAACCGCGGACGATGAGAGGAATGTGAGGCTGAGCTGCCGAAGTATACTTATCCTTCATCGACCGGACAACAGTTGAGGCGGTGCTATGCAAGCAGCGAGCGAACTTGGTGACGTCTTCATTCCTCCAAGCTGCGGCATGGACAGTCTTGATATCGAGGTTGCCCATGTACAGCAAAGCAGTGACGGCGAGAACTTCTGAAGTACACGACTCCACCTCCCCGAAAATACCGACGAGACCGAGAACAACAGATTCCAGGTATGATTTGTATGTCTCGCGTGATCCCGGCTTCAGCATCTCCAAAAGAGCCTCGCGGTATATAGCATTGATTGGTCCAAGTATGTCGACTTTTGGGGCGACTAACGACGGCTCGCTGAGGCTAAGACCATGGGTGCCAACATCGCCAGAGTCCATCATAGGCGGGTTGAGGAGCGTGTTGCCCAGACCACGATCCACGAAGAAGTCGCGAAGGAAACTGCCATAAAGCTTTCGATGATAAAGTCTCTCTGGTGTGTCGTCCTGGCAATTGTTGTCCATCTCGTCCGACGGCGATTCCACCTCTGGGTCGGCCACAGAGAGGGCGTTGTTGACTGCATCGACACGGCGCCGAGCGACATTCGTGCCGTCACCAAAATCGATCCAGACGTGCATCTAGTCGTCTGACTCAGACTCTGGTGACCAAGTCTTGATCTTGTAGTCGCGGATAGCAAATGCAGCTGATTCCGGGTTGGACGGACGCTTTACGTGAAGTACCAGACTGTGCTTGTGTTTGATCTGGGCAGCATAGGTCGGTCTGACTATACCCTCCCAGAAGAGATCGTCTCTGTCCACCATACCATCTCTTCTCCTTGTGCCTGGGGCTGGGGGCTTTCTGAACGAGATTCGTACCGTGCGGCCTAGTTTGGTGATGCGCTTGACGGATTTGCTGAAACGAGTCGTCTGGACCAGGATTAGATGATTCTTCAACGACAGACTTCAAAAGAAAAACGCACAATATCAGGTGTCAATGTCATCAAGACGAAGAAGGAGTCGGTGTCCTCAGTTGAGCGAGAACCTTGTTTCAAGAAGAAGGCGCGCTGCCGAATGCTTCGGATCTCTCGAACGTCGACGTAAAACCAGTACGCATCTTGGACCACAGACTGGGTCATGGTTGTGAGGGCATCTTCGGGGTTGTCGAACTCGAACCTTTCTGGATACTGCGTCTTACTGGAGTTGGCCGGAATCTGATGGTTATAGCGGCTTAAATCCCAATGATGACTAGGTAACAGAGTCAATTTCGCAAAAAGGTATCAAGCCGAAGATGAAAGTACTAACACATGGCTGTAAGGGTGGTTTTGAGAGTTGGGAAAGAACGCGAACTTCTCCAGTGCGGTCGACGACTGAACCCCACGCCTCGCCAGAATTCGAAACTGACGTTGGCTGAAGATGTCGCGCAAGGTATTCCAGCCCTAAGCTTCCTGGTTCACGTTAATGTAGCTGTCAATGAGATCCGTCTCTTCACGGAGTGCCGGCCCAAGACCATCGACTGAGGCAGTCTGGCCATCACCGAGGCTGAGGTTGATGATAGCTAGGTCTTTGGTCTCTTCGCGCGGCAAGATCATATCGAAGGTACCTCGAGAAAGATTCTCGATGGACATACAGAATGTTCCAGCCGGGAATCTTAGAACTATCGAGAATACGTCTTCAGTCCCAGAAAAGGACTGGTTCTCCAAGTGCCGCGGGAAGCGGAAACGGATCCCGACATATGCTCGACCACTGCCACCAGGGTTGACCACAAAGTCAGTCTCGATTCTGTCGGGGAAGCCGATCTTCTGGCCTCCAATAACTTCGTAGCTTCCATGACGGAGGATTCCACATGGGTGATACTCCGTGATTGCCGAAGGCCGTTTCGGGTTGTTGTTGCGTGGCCGCGACGAGCGGGGCAGGCGAGGAGGCCGAGGCATTTTGCCGCCCGAGTACAAGTGAAAGGCGGTACCGATGAGAAGAGTGCTTGAAAGGGAAGTCGAGATCAATCGCCACCAAGCAAACAAAAAGAGGATGGCAAGAGATGAGGGCTGCAACAACTGGGTGGGTCTGGTAGGTATCTTGTAGGAAGGTACCTAAGGTGAGGGATCGGGGTTGAACCAGTGATCGGAGGGGAGAAAAATTCGCGACCGATCAGCGGACTCGGATAATTCAAATTGTTGAAAAAAGTTCTTTCTGCGATTTTCAGCTGCGTTGCAGGAAAATTCGTGGGCAAGAGGGAGCAGAAAGGGTGATGAGTGAGGTTGGGGGCGAGATTGGCGCAAGCAACCACGCCGCTAAATACCTTCTCCGGTTTTGAGGTCGTTCTGATCTGGGAGGAATTTTGCCTTTCAATGAGGACCTCCTTCGTTCCAAGCACGTCTCGAGGTGATTGGAGCACTGCTACAGGTTGGCGTGATAAGCACACTCTTGCGCGAGGCGCCTCTCGGATCAAATCGCTCTTTCCATCATCAAAGGCAGATCAGAGCACCGGCCACAAGACAAAGAGCCATTGCTAGCAGCCTTGAGTGAGGAAGGTGTGGAGTTGATACCTGAGGCGGGCACGAATATGAGTGCCTAGGTACCCCGATATATCATCTGGGACCGTACGGTGCAGAGAGCCCTACTGGCCGCGCCTTCTCTTACACCTTGAACCACCTTCTATAATTTTGCGCCCACAGGCTATGGACTGGACTGGGCGGTCTTGAAAGAGCCTGGAAACCCAATGCCCCCCCTGGTTCTTCTTACGTCTCTCCCTTTCAACGTCTCGTCAAAACACCGCCATCTGCAACTCGACCATTGGTTAGCGACACGATATCAGTTTTCCGGATTCCTTCGCCAAACGAAGCACATCAAATTGCAACAGTCTCAGTTTCTCTAACGAGCTTAGATCAACATCGTTCTGCCTCAACAGTCGCGTCAGATATTTGACAATCCTTCATCACCGATTCTAGTTTCCTCCGTCTCGGCTGGCGGCAAAGACGGTGGCACGTACAGCTGCAAGTCGCCAGTTGTAGAGAAAATACTGAAGAAGCATTCTGACCATACAATAGGAAAATGGCGTACCCAAAAAACTTCTTCGTCGGATATGATTGCGCTATCCTTTTCCCTCAGGACGGAGTCCTGCTTGGCGGCTTCAACTTCGGATTTCAGAGACAACTTGAGACGTGCCTTTGCGCCTACCCAGGTGAAAATCGACTCGTACTGAAGGTTTATCTGCAACGACGTTAGGACAACGTTGAGAGATACCATTACGAGCCACATGACCCATGGGAGAAGATGGCTATCGAACTCGAATTCCCAGTCGGAACTTGCACATACACCACCCAACCACTACCCCAAGAGCACCACAGGAGATTCTTCAACACGAATTCTCCCCGAAGCTACATCTTGGTGTGCCTACGTTCAGAATCCCCCCCTGTTGTGGAGGGACTCGGCTTGCTCTTCAGGCGGGAAGCTCCGGGTTCATTGGAGCTTGGTGGACTCGACGACAAGATCAATGGCTTCAGATCCATCCGAGACATAATGAGAGAGAAGAATTTCAATCTCGTGATTGACAGTCGTCACTCTTCCGCAATAGCGTCTCAATTTGGTCTTCAAATGGATGTTTTACCTCAGAGTGGCCAGAATGGTGACAGGTGCGTTTTCCATCGATGGAGACTGTTGCCCTGTCGTCCAATATTGGAGAAGCCTAAGCTGATGCAGCCTTGTCTAGACACGATTGGGTGATCGATCCCGACACAAACCAAATTATCAAGAAACCTGACGAGAGGGTCGCTGCAAGGAGATGCTACCAAACTGCTTCCAACGCAGTCAATGCCTTAACAAAATCAGTCTTACAAGAAGAGCTTTGGATCAATCGACATGTGAACCAGCTCGCTGAAAGTCCTTGCGAAGTCCACTTCGAACCAAAGGGAACACAAGTGACGGCGGATGCGAAATTCACCGACCCCGCTATGGTATGTATCTGTCTCTGCCTCCATCTGGACTGGTTTTCTAATAACATGAAAACAGCTGTCGACGTTGTGGCTCTCGGTTCCCCATCTGACCAAAAACGGTACCCAAGTCACGTTAGCCGTACACAAAGATGGTCAGATTTCTCAATACAAAGGTACTGTGTCACGCGACGTGGACAAGACGCCTGGAGGAAGACTATCCATCTCGATTGACCCACCTGAAGCTGAAGCACGTAGAGATTTAGCCTCTCTTGTGGCCTCTTTGAACGAAGCCACCACGGCTCGGCTTCATTTTGACATCGACCGCAAGCTTTACAATCAACGGTTTGCCGCCGTGAAGGATGTGTTTGAAACCGACCTATCTCAAAGATCTGCCGAGGATCGGGCGGCCAATCGTTTGCTAAAAGAGCTACTCATCGGGGGCACGTCTGGCCCGATTGGTGACACACCACTCGAGCTTCCAAATTTTGACCTCGTCGGTGGCATACCAGACGCTTACCTCAAAGCGCTCAAATGGGAAGCTCCCTCCGATACTCGAGATCGATACTTCAACTACGTGACTAACCGCACCCGTCTTGGTCTCGTCGGCATAACAGGGGAATTCACAATAAACCTTCTAGCGGTTACTGCCATCCTTTTCACAGCCAATCCATCAATCGGCAAGGTTTTTCTTTCTGCTTCGAATGATATACGTTTGTACGCCATCGCCGAAAGGATTCAAAATTTGGGTCTGAGAATCAGTAGCAAACCCAACATACAAGATCCCACCCCGCTCGTTGTCGTCGGAAGCGACCTAGACCTGGAAGTCGACGAATTCATCCTGAGGATTTCACAGCCCAAAGTGAAGCCTCGTCACCATCTCTCTGTTTGCTGCCGACTCCTCGGACTCATGAATTACAAAGTCGGTTGCTTTCCGGACTTGGACCATCCCAAGCTCATGAAGATACGCACCAAGATTTCCACCGAAAGCCGGTACAAACACATTCGTGACGTTCACGGCAGCAAATCAGAATTTTGCAACGATTTTGTCCAACGTGGGCATATAAGAGGGTTGATGGAGTCGATCGTCAGCGCCGCGGATGTGTTGGGCACCATGCCTGATGTTTGTCGAGACCACCCATATGACGAAGTACGGAAGAAGGCGAAGGGTATTGTTCTTCACCATGCCGCTTCGATATCAAGGAACGATGCTCTGGTTGTTCTCGGTGATTGTTTCAAACCACTCGCGATGGATGGCTGTGAGAATCGACGGGTTAAGCCGCTTATTGGCGAGAGTGGTGATCATTACAACGCATTCTTTGAGGATGCTGAGATGTCTATTCTCCGGTTCATCATATGGTCTGGACATCCGTTCATCTGATTGGGGTTTACAGGTTAGGTGTGGTACACTTGCTTGTTAGATGCAGAGGTTGCCGAAGTTTGTGAGCATTAGTGTTCCCTAGACAGATTTTTAGAATTAAGCATTCGTTCGGGCATCACGCGTACAAGAAATCCATTCTGGATGATGATTATTAGGTAGTCCAGGCAAGTGCCCAGTGCTATGTCTGCTCGCCAACAACCCAACCATCCGCGGCGGTACTTCATATAATGACAGATCGAGCGCATCCTGCCAATTTTCGGTCTTACCAAAGGCGCAAGCGGAAGAATAAGTATGTTAACCGTGACTCCAGTAGCTTCTATGAAGCAGCTTTCGTGAAAGCAGGAACAGCACATCTGCTTGATGTTTCAGGTTTATGATCAAGTCTAGCTGGACGATGAGGAACGACAAAGACAACGAAGACGACGACGGCAACGGCATTCATCATCCTGTCTCCATCTTGCGTCGAGCAAACATCTGAACTGTCTCATCTTTCCTCCGAAAAGCCCGTCAACGTCCCACGAGAAACGGGTATCAGCATCTCGTACAACCTCCATGAGGCACACCGCCCTTAGGCAATCGGCCAAACATACATCACCTTACCCAAGAAGCCTCGTACGCCTCGACAGTTCCTGTTCTCTCTTTACCTTGAATCACGAGGCCCGTTTCTGATAGACCGGTGCGTCTTATCACTTCTCACGGAGCCTCACATACGCGACACCGCCCCTCGTGCTCCCGCCGAAGGGGTGGGCTGCCTTACCACATCATGCCAGTTTGCCCCTCGCCGATCTCCTGGCATGCCTCTTGTCTCTGTAACATCATCGCAATGCCTCATGGGTGCCTGCTCACCGACATTTGGCGAGGTTGAGGAGGCCTATGACTGTTTTTAAGCCCGCAATCCCCAAGCAGCCTGCTTACCTTTGCCTCCTGAAGCAACTCTCGACAACTTGAACCAAATCACTTCCAAACTTTGACCAAACTCACAATCTGCTTTGCCAATCTGATTGCCCAGCATGGCCTTCGGCAAGAAGAAACGCCTGACTCCGCAGGAGCTTGCCCGGCTCTGCAGCTTCGCGCACCCCATGGGCCTTCGCTGCCCCTATGCCAGAGTCACCTTGACCAGGGACGGCGCGCGCTTTGCCTCGCCCTTTTGCAAGATCCACTGCTGCAAAAAGATTGATAACGGCGCTGCTTGCACGAATGTGAAGACCAATAGCCGTGGATATTGCACCCAGCGTACTTACCCCTGAGCCCCTTTTCAATCCTCTCACTCAGCCATTCACGGCCTTCTCTCGACCGTATCACCCCATACTTCTCACTTCCTTCATACTCTTTGCTTCAACAGCACAGCTGACCATCGCTCAGACCTCCTCTGCACCGGCATAATGAACGGCCAACGCTGCACCAACTACGTCAAATCCTACGACCCAAAGGAATACCAATTCTGCGCCCAATTTCGTACGCACCCTTTTCCCGCCCTCCTCCAGTATCCCTCTAACATGTCCGTCCAGACAACTGCCTCCAGCAAGGCTGCAAAAACGAACGCACCCACCAAGGCGACGTTGACCTCCGCTACTGCCAAGACCACCGCTGCGTCCGGCCGGATTGCACATCCCCCCGCGCCCCCGGCGGCAGCACCCACTGCGCCTCGCACACCTGCGCCGCGCCGGCCTGCTTCGCCGCCTGCCCGGGCGCCTCCGGCGACCCGCACGACCCCTCGCGCTTCTGCGACCGTCATCGCATGTGCCACACCGCCGGCTGCCGGCAGTTCGCCCACGTCCGCGCCGACGGCGTGCCCTCCAAGCACTGCGGCGCGCACTACTGCCGCTGGGAGGCCGAGGGCGGCTGCGACGGGGCGCGGGACCCGATGAGTGCGGACGGGGTGTGCGGCGCGCATACGTGTGTCGAGGCGGGCTGTCTGCGGGCCAGGGACCACCGGGAGGAGGGCGCGCAGTGGTGTAAAGATCATACATGTAAGAGCCGGGACTGTCGGTGGAGGAGGTGGTTGGGGGAGTATTGTCGGGAGCATCAGTGTGGTCGGCCGGGGTGTCCGAGGCATGGTGAGCATAATAATTACTGTGATAGACACCGGGCTTGTACCACGCCGGGATGTGATCGGTTCCGGAGGATTGATGGGGAGAATATCGGTTTGCATTGCGAGGAGCGTGAGTGTCCCTCACCAGCTATCCCTAACACACGTCAAGTAACACGGTCCAGACTCTATCACCCGGTGCAGGAGAGAAGGCTGCGACGTGGGCGTCGTCGACAACACGGAGCTCTGCGCCAGCCACCTCTGCAGCTGGCGGCCCTGCCGCAACGAGCGCGCGCTCTTCGGCTCCGCGCTCTGCGCGCAGCACAAGTGCGCCGTGCCGACATGCCCGCACCGCCGCACGCATATGAACTACGACCCCATGTACGCCGTGCTCGGCGGAGACCGCGCCGCGGAGCTGCTCATGTCGGCGTTCTGCAATGGCCACGCGTGCCGGCACGAGCAGTGCCCGCTCAGGGCCGAGGGCGACACGCACTTCTGCCGGACCCACGCGCGGTGCCGGCGGCTTGGGTGCACGAGGGTCGTGGAGCTCGAGGGGGAGGATCCGACGATTTGTTTGGAGCATAACCACATGGGGCCGCGGGGGATGGGCAGGAGAGGCGCACTGGGCGGTGATCCGTATGGTAACGGGCATGGGAACGGGTATGGAAATGGGGATTATGGGTATGGATGGCCTGGTGGCGGCGTTTGGGGTGTGAATGCTGCCATTTGAGGCTGGTCGGGGATGATTCTTTGGGTTAGAGATGTTCTGGACACAAAATGGCGGGCGTTATTTCAGAGTAGAGCACTTGCTCCGAACTGTTGTAAAGAGGTGCAGACAAACAGACCTGAACATTGCTTCTACTCATCGATGAGCACTGTAGAAGACAGCCATTCCACATTGGGTCTCTCGGAACGTCTCCATGAATGATACGACGGAGGTGCTGCTCCCAGATAGATCCTTGGGCATGAGAGAAGAGTCTTTCGTGTCAGCATCAAGTGTAACGTCAAGTGATTTGAAAGGGCCGCTTCCGAGATATACCCAAACTGGAGAAGGCTGTGAGCGTTCTGCTCTAATTCCTTCCAACCTTGTCAGCAGCAATACACCCACTTGTGGCATGAAGAATTGCAACCTCCTCGAGGGCTTCCGTCAGCTTTTCGTCAGGCCGGTTGCTGTACCCGTGGCAGCGAGGCAATTGAACACGATTTCCAACCCGCCAAGCCAAGCAGTTGTTTTCTCACGCACAGCAATACCAGCCAAGCCATTCTGCGGTCCAAAAATAAGCATCATCGATCCCCGTGATAGCTTCGCGTGATGTCGCGCATCAAAGTGCAGGAAAACGCGCTCGACCTCAGCCTCAGCTTCGGGCCGTGTAAGTAGAAGCAAGGGCCACATGTTCAGTGCGGGAAAAGACGGCGATGTGGCTCATCTCGCATGAGTTCGCAGACCGGTCTTCATCGCACCACTTACACCGTCGGCGCAGTCCACCAGACGCTTGCCATCCGCACAAGGCAACGAGACCATTCTGGTCCCAATCAGGTAGCGGAGGGCACCCAAACATCAAGCCACCAGAGACTATGAGTCTTGTTGAGAAAATTCTGGACGCTTCCGGTTGCCTCACAAAGGCGGCGATGTCGAGACACAATAGGGAGGGCCTGTTTGTCGAAGGAATGGCATCCTGACCGTTTCGCGGACTCGTGAGGGTTGAAAGCCGCTGTCGGAGGGAGTCAAGACAAAGTGGACAATCCTCGAAGGGTGCGACGGTATCGAGTCTGGTTGAAAGAGTCGGGGTGGTTAAACGGTAGCCTTGTCGGGGCTATGCCGATGATCTGAGGGATATGGAGGGTCAGAAACCGGTATTGGTCGAGACGTTGAAGGGAAGAAGAAAAGGTACGTATCCCCTCTCAAGGTCTGGCCCAGCGAAAGCAGAAAATGTGGAGGGAGCCCAAGCGCAGGGTCTGTACAGTGCTGATATCCCCAAAATGGCATTTCTTGACAGTGTAAACACGGACTGACGGCAGACTTGGGGCCCTCCAATCACCTGCGCAGCGCATCATCCCGCCCTTGGTCTCCAAAACTCTCCACTAAACAACACCATCACCAAACGTCAACGCTCGCGTCTGCGCTACAGGGAATCGCTTTGTACTCTATTTCCAAGCTGCATGAAAGAAGAAACTTACCGTCTCCTAGTCGCAGCGTCTTGGTCTTTGGGGTTTTTCCGTTTCACCCTCGCTAATCCTTGACTCTTCCGCCTAACGACTGGGATGGGCGACCGTCAAGTCGTCACAGCCCCGGAGCCGGTTCCGAATGACCTCCCTTCGCGTGAGACATCCCCCTCATGCGCTCGCGGCCAAACGACCTGCCAGGTCTCACCGCACCCAACTTGTGAGGATGTCTACATGACTGCTACACACATCTTCTGAGTCCTCGTTCATCCCACAACCAAGTCAGCATTATGACACCCGACACTTGCTACTCACCATCTCCAGGGTCCTCGACACCAACAGGGGCAGAATAAAGAAAATGGCGTCGTCTTCGTCCGCAACCTGCTCACCTTATTGCAACTTTACTGCCCCCAAAGTCCTCCCACACACACGCGCATACCTCACCGCGCGCCAGCCACCGAACCGGCACCCATCCCTCTCCTGCCCACGCGCTTGAGCCTCGTGGTCGCTGCCTTCTTTCGAGTAGGGCACCTCGATGACTCGATATTCTTGAGGCGCCCTCCTCCCTCCCGGGACGATGGTTGAGTCCTATGCCAGGGCGCTGCCTCGCATGGCCCCGTTAAGTCAAGCCTTACCCGCTTCCCGCTGCGGCCATGCCGTCGACTCACGAATCCTCGTTCGTCCCTAGACCCTAAGTCTTCTGCTCCGATCACCTGAATATCGTCCTAGCCCTTGTGGTCTACTGTCTTTACTCGCAGATTTCCATATTAGCACCGCGATCTCTCCCTTGTCCGGTATCATCGAACCTATCCTCTTCCATCATCGTACTACTTACACAGCTACCCAAGCCATACATTACACAACTTCAACCCGAGGGCTTCCAATATCAGTTCAAAGCCTTCATACACAACAACAAAGACACCTAATAACCTTAAAGACTGCGAATCTCGTCGCAGTCCTCGTACCCACAGCCAAAGTGGGCAACGAGTGCGACAAACCCCCAAAACACCACCGCCCCTAGCACACCACTCATATGTCTAACCGCCGCTGGTACGTTGATACCGCACCGGACGGTCGGACACAGTACATCTCTCTCAAACGCTCCCGCTCGCACCACTACTACGGTTACCCTCGTTATGAGCAGCCGCAGTGCTCGCCGCCGGTGCAGCACCACCGCTGCTGCCGCGACGACTGCTGCCACTTAGGCCGCGATGAGTGGAACGACCTGGTTGAGCGGGAGCGCAAGCTGCGCGAGTCCAACGACTGCCTCGCCCGCGAAAACGTCTCTCTCAAGGCCAACTACCAGGCCGCCGAGGCCGAAGCGCGCCGGCTCGGCGGCATCGTGCCCATCCTGCAGGCCGAGAACCAGGCGCTCCGAGACGAGAACGCGGCGCTGCGGTGCTCGCTCGAGAACGCCGGCGGCCACACGGGCAAGTTCCACCGCGAGGTCGAGAAGCTGCGGCACCGGTTGCACAAGATCGAGAGGGAGCGCGACGCGCTGATTGCGAGGGTCAAGGAGCTCTCGCGGCACTACGTCTCGGACAAGGTCGAGGAGCTGAGGCGGATCATCGTCAATTGGGAGCGCAAGTTTGACGTTGTCGATGACCACAACAAGAGACTGCGGAGGGATATCGAGGACCAACGGTGTATGATTCAGGAGCAGGAAGAGCGGCTTCGCACGTATGAGCGGATTCTGCGTCGGAATGGCTATGCGAGGTTCGAATGAGAGAGGATCGGGAATGGAGGGATGGATATATGTTTTTGACTTGCATTCCGCGGGTACGCGAAGACGTTAGTATTACTGTTCAAGCGAAAGTAATCATCTTTCTTTGGCGGGAGGATGTTTGGCTGGATATGCGATACAGGAAGCCGAGTGGTAAGTCTCTTCCCGCAAGCACATCTTCAAGAGATGAAGTCTAACATGCATGCAGGCTTTCATTGGAGATTGCAGGATTCTATCATGATTGGTCTTTGACGCCATAGACTTCGACTGGCGATGCTTCATTGGGCATCCCGCCATGCAGGTGCGGTATGGCCCGAGGAGATTGCAGTCTGACCTTCGTTCACGAAATTTCATTTGTCACACACTTCGGCTGTCCTTTGCATGCATTTCCTCTGCTTTACAGGGGACCTTTTCTTCCTTATTCTTTTTCGACAGTCATGTCAGGGGACGACTCGACTGGTAACTTCTTTCACGCCATCTGTTGTAATTCAAGGGTATTACTAGACACCAAATTGACATACAAGACCTAGCCTCACTACGCTCATGACAGAATGGAGCGAATTTCAGTGACAGTAAGCAGTCTATTACAAGCGTGAAAGTGTCAAAAATAGCGAAAGGGGCCTCAGTGACTCGTCTTCGGCACAAGGTCCCGTCAGCAGATTCGTCGCGAGTCGCAGACAGACCAAACCCGTTCCCATGACGCCAGGCTCCCACACCTCCGAACCTCAGCTCCCCATCACTCCTAGCAACCCTTCCCACCACCACCATCTTGACAAAACAACCTAAGAGGGTGGTCTGGACTCAGTAGGTAATCCGCCTGCCTGTCTGCCTACAGCATCAACTCATTCATTATATAAGCGCACACCTGCTTACGTACACCCTCTGCAGCAGAAGGTTCTGCTTGCCAACGCATCACACCTTGGTCCGAATACCTACCTTACGTAACCTTCAACAGCGCCAACATACTGCAACACCACCATCACGCCCCCAGACCGCAACGCTGAGCCCACCGCCGGCGACAAGGGTGCCTGTCATCCATCTAGCGATGGTGTGCAGCTTAAGGCTGCAGCTTCCTATCTTGCGTTGCCAGGGCCTGAGGCGCGACCCATTTCCCGCTGCCTGCCTGCCTGCAGTCCCTCACGCTTTCTCGCGATTCCGGCCAACGCAAGCTACTTTGGGCAACGCGCAAGTGCGCAAAACGCCCACTCGTACCCTCCCCTTCGAAGGATTCCGCGCTGGATCGATATCCTTGGAATAGCAGCACTGAAGAGACCAGGGTCTCGCTCAGCTCGTTCGTCACCTACCTTGCCTTGTTCCGGTCCCCTCCGGCCCCGCGAGGCCAACGATACGATTCTTGGCCCTGGGCTGCGGTACACCTTGGCTAGAGTGCTGACAGGCACCGAGGTGAGCGAGTGGATTCCCAAGTCCGAGATATCTCAGCCCGGACTTCGGGATCCGTTTTGGGACATACGAATGGAACCTGGAAGGTACTTGGACGGACACCTTGAGGGGGCTGGACCGCAGCTGCCTGCTTCATTCGCCGAGCTCCCAAAGTCCTGCGAGATTTGCCACGAAACATGAAGGCAAGAGCTGCGGGGGGTCTTGGAGGTCAACAGCACCGCGGTGCTCTTGCTTCTTCGTGGGGGCCAAGACTTGTGGTTGAAAGAAAGATGGGAAGGACCACTCTGGCGAAACGGTGACAGGCGCCTGCCTGCCGCTGGACCTGTTACCGGCACGTCCTGGGCTAGCGCAGTGCCCGCCCGCCGCTTTTACTCTCGCAGAGGTAAGGCACCAGGCCATGGGCAACCTTGGAGGACCAACTTCCTTCTCACTCGACTACCAAGGACAACTGCAACTTCCTTCAGACTCTGTTCCAAATTTTCCTCCTTCTCCATCCAACCCAGACCAACGTCTGTCTCCCTCTTTCACAATTCACAATGTGGGCAACGGCACTCTTGCTGCTCACGTTCAGTTTTGTCCTGTGCCTGCTGCATGTTAATACCGCAGCCAGATGATGTTGACACCAATCCAGTTGGAAACGACGTCGACAGGCTCATGACTTCTACGGTAAGTAGGCGAGATGCGATTTCTTCCAGTTTTGTGCAGTTTCCTGTCCGATCCCTGGATCTGGCTTCTTCTTTCCTTCTGTTTCTGTTTCGGCGCGCGTTTCCACGATCGCGGCAGGAGACCAACACTTCCAGCTGCTCCTTCCATAGCTTTCTTTCTTCCCTGTCTACCTGCCTGTCCACCGCTTCTGGCTCCTTCCCTCCCGTGTCAGCGCCTGCGCTCGCCGTGGGGAACCTCTTGGAGAGTGGCCGAAATCTGGGCTTGCTCTGGCTCCGTGGCGAGACGCGCGTGGACGGGGAGAGCGAGCGGATGGGACAGAGTCACTGGTAGGCGGATGAACTCAAACAGGCGATGATGACATCCAACACACAGTCGGCGGGAATTCCATTGGGGTCACGTCAATGGCTGTTCATGGACTTGGCTGAGCCTGGCATCACGGGGACACATTTCACAAGGGGGTTCAGGTTTGGGACTGGGGGCTTCATGGACATTGGGCATCACCTGGACATTGGGACGGGAGTATGTTTCCTTCATTCATTGGTGAAAGGCCTAGCGGTCTCGACGGTACCGTGCTGCCAGCCACCAGTGGTGTCATCTCATCAAGTTTCTTTGCCGTTAGTAAGTTGCAAGAATCCAAGACAAGACAGCGAACGATTGGAATCCATCTGTCCCCCCTTGGTACAAGACAATCATGGAAAGGATTGCTTGTAGTCCGTCAACTGGGGGGGCTTTTGAGACTGTGATGAAGACCGACTCCTGCATGTCGATGATCTGAGTCTCAAGGAAGGGGGAATACATATGTTGGGGATACACGAATGACGATGGGTTACATGCTGCGGATACATGAATGACGATTGGGATACAGGATGCAGGACAGGTTCCGACACGAGCCGCGACGTGTTGTTGGTGTGGTGTTGAAGAGAAGAAATGATGGAGGGGCAGGGAAAAGGAGGAGTCCTTTATAATTGAAGGGTTCTGGGGTGTTTTGTGGTCGGCGTCCCGAAGAAGGGAAGGAGCACAGTGAGAGCAGGTGCAACGACGCTGATAGAGCAGGTGCAAATCCGTACCTCCTTCCAAGAGGTGGTTTTCTTGAGGCAGAAGGCAAGAGGCAGGAAACAGAAGGCAGGAAGCAGGAAGGTTCTGGATCAGAGTAGGCGCACAGGATGGAAGGAGGCCCTGGGGGAAAACATCGGAAGGAGTCTCTGGAAGCAGGTCATGGAAGCGATTTGAACACTAAATGTGATGAAAGTTTGAGAGAGGTTGATCAATTGGAACTACTGCATATCATTATTCCGGTCTATCTGTATTGAAATATCTTTCTGTGTCTGCACTGTCCCCAGATTTGATGAGATGGTGCCTTCACTGCCAGTGGTATCATATCGATGGTAACGGGCCCGGCTGCTCGTGGCTGTGGCTAGAACCAGGAACGTTCTTTCTCCGCATGACTTCTTTCCCAGAAGTTCCCTGTGGACCCGTGCCAAGGTGTGCGCTTGAGACACTCACCCGTTGCGTTGCATGCAGTAGGAAGAGCGCCTCCCATTTTGTGCCTTCCCAGTCTCAAGGTGTCTTCAGCACGGGCCGTGCTTGCAGAAGGTGGAAGTTGCCTGGTAGCAGGAGCGGCTTACGTTCAAATCAAGGAAAGCGCTTCCATACGGAGGAAATCTCCTCACGTAGAGGGCACACCATGATGCCAAAGACATGATGCCTGTTGTGTTCAACACCTGACAGGCACTAAGGTCGGCGATACATTTCGAGGCTTCATATATGTGACTTCCAAGTACTTAAAAAAAAAGTCTACCGATACCTGCAGAATTTCCCATGTCTTGGCGTAGCCCAATCCAAGGTCGAATTCATTGCTTTGACACTGGTTGACTGAGCACGACGTTGACAGTCTGCAGTGACTTACACGGGAGAAAATGTGGGGGCTCGAGTCCGCCGACAAGGATGCCAGACCTTGCACTGCCTAAATAGGACATCTTAATTCGCCGCTTTTACACCTGCTCTGAGGTCTCGACCTCAAAGCACCTTGATTCAAGCGACCATGGTAGTTTGGGCCAGGTACCCTGATGGTTGGTATCATATTTGACCTTTTAGTCCCTAACAAACTTTTCCTTCCTCGTGAACTGAGCCATTATGGTCGCCGCAGTGGAACTGATCTGAACACAGGTAGCACCTCCAGAAAAGTTATAAGAGGACGCATGTCCCACGATTTCCGTCTTCTTTTTTCTCATCAAGTTAGTGAGGAGTTGGTGAAAGTGAGATAGCCAACTGCATATGGATGGACCATTGCATTAGCCCTGCGCAAATCTTGGAGTGACGGCCCGATCAGAGAAGGCTCAAACTTACTGAAGTTGGTGAGGTTAGTGCCAACCGCACATGGATAGACCATGCGCATCCAGGCGGTGATTCAAGCCTTGGCCCTTCCAAAATCGTGGGTTAAAGTGTCGTGAGACGATGAGGTAGGGCCAGAAAGAATCAGAGACGATGGTGGTGATCTCACTGAGTCTCTGGGACAGGTCGCACTGAAGTTGGACGTAAGACACCCAACAGTGTGTGGATAGACCACGTGCATTCAGGCGGTGATTCGCCTTGGCTCTCAAGAAGGCCCCGAAGAACAGGACCAGAGAGTATTGAAGACGATGATGAGATCTTTACTGAGTCTCCAAGCAAGTTCAACATACTGAAGTTGGTGAGGCAGTTAGCCAACAGCATATGGATAGACCGTGTGCACCCAGGCAGTCATTCAAGCCTTGGTCGTTCCAAATGCTGGGTTAGATTGTCGTATGGAACGGCCAGAAAGAAATGGAGACGATGATGATAGCAACTACTGAGTCTCCGGAGCAGGCAGTCATCCAGTGAAGTCGACCTACGACGCATAGTTGCGTTCTCTAACAGGACCACGGGACTGACCTCAATATATTTCATTATGGTACCTCCAGTGTGTAGAATCACCCTGGCTGGTTGAATTGAGGACTCCGAGTGTCAGCATTTAGAGGCACAGACTTTGACCTTTCGCCGTGTGTGGTTGGCGTCTTAGGGTTTGACAGGCACGTTGACGCAGGCCTTGCAGGGGAGTGCCTGCTGCGCTAGCCTGCGGGGCGGTGCTGTCTAGTCCGTGCTTAGCTGCCGTCCGCAGCGGATTCCCAGTGACATGTTTGCTCTGGTGTCCGCACCTCTCAACCACTCACCATCACCACACCCCAGCCCGTTCGTGATAATCATCGCCATGCGGCCCGCGACGTTCCTCCCAGCGAACGGAGACGACGGAGGAATCATGTCGAAACTGACCGATCTGATGACAGAGACTCAGCTGGTTTCACTGGCCGGAACGAGAATTGTCGATCGATCAGCGGCAACCAAGTGCACCACCATCTCCTCGAGAGCGCCAACAGGATGAAGCAGCCTAGGAGGCTTGCATCGAACGCATGAAGTCGAATGATAGGAGCCTCAGTCACCATCGTCATTACGAGCGAACCCCATCGCGACGCGGGGTCCAAAGTGCAGACGCCAGTCGCCAGAAAAGGCGTGACTCACGACGCGACTCGCTGGCCCATCACCTGCCCCTCATCGGGGTCTCGCGACGGCCTCTCTCTAGGCTGCAGGCCGATCTGGGTTTGCGATCATTGCCAGACGATTGGTCCGAATACCGACACGAACGCAACGCACATCATCATCCTGGATCGACGGGGAGACAGAACAGGCTTAAGAGACTGCGAATAGCTGCAAGAGAAGTACTACGCAGCGCCAAGAGACCCTGTTCACGCCGTTGCGTACTCTTGCTGTCTCGTCCATCTCCTCGTCGTTTCCGCAGGCCTCTTGTCACCTACCTGACCTTACCTCACCTCGCATTTGCTTCGCCATGCTCCGTCTCCCTGCGGTCTGCAAGAACCAACAGCCTGCTTCTGTTAGGCGGATCAGTCTGTCGGGTACTCAACCCGCGTTGGCGGACCATTCCACGCACGCACAGAAAATGGGCAGGAAACAAGGGAAATAAGGCGTCCACAGGAAGAAATTCAGCAAAAGAAGGCAGCCAGAATTTGCGTATCTGCCTTGCTGGACGCCTGCGCCGCCTCCAATCAGAACAAGTCCTCCCACCGAGAAAATTGAAGCAAAGCCTCCCACCAGCACACCCCCCTTTTTCCAGAAGTGCCCCTCCCCCTCGAGGGCCTTGGACCTTGGACCTGGGAATACATGGAATTGTGAAGGGGTCGGCGGAAATGGGAGTCGATTCCTTGTACAGACGAGAATCGCCTTTTTTCCACTTCGCTCCCGCGTCCCCACACCCTGGCTGGCGATGTATGCAGCGCCATTGACAAGCAAGTTCTGGGCCCATCCCTCGAAACAATCCCCATCCTCGTCAGTCCCTCGTCTCCCGTGTCCCTTCAACCGTCACGCCAACCCACAGTTCGATAGGCAGGACGGCCGGCGGATCGCGGGCGCGGGTTCACCCTCTCATCATGGGCCGGGGTGAGAGAGGGACGAGGGAGTACTGTGCAGACAGACTGCAGCCAGACTTGCAGACTGCAGCAGAGAAAGGGCAGGGCATGTTTGGTCCCGTCCTCCGTCCCCGTACCCAAGCGATGACTCCTCTTCTGGACTTCGCCAAGACGCCACCCAGCCCTACATGGTCAATACCGACGGGCTACCTCAGGAATGCTGCAATCTCTTTAGGCCACGGAGGCATGTTGTAGGTATCTCTGCCGTTGCCGTCTGGTCCTCTCCCCTGTCGCACGCCTCTCTGCTGTTCCTCCCTCCCAATCCATCGCGACTTAGCCCCGGAGGCAGCAGCAGCGCAATGCAATCCACACCATCTCTGTCAATCGCTCACTCGCTCTGCCTCTGCCTCTCTGCCTCTGCCACTTTCCTCCCTCCGAGTCCGACTGTTGTTATTGTTTTTATGGTCTGTTCCCAGAGACTGCAATGGCTGTGTCTAAATAAATAAAAACTTCCATGCCGACGCATTTCCCGTTTCCCTCCCCCTTTCCCCTTCATCTCAGTCTCAGGTTTCGCTTATTAGTGTTGCTGCCCAAGTCCCGCCAACCTCCAACCCGGGAAAAAACAACCAAATTACCACTGCGACCCAATTCGCCCTTTTCCTTTAATACTTGACTCACACACACGGCCTGTCTTAACCCGGTAGCCAACCACCACAACCGCCCACATCCAAATTCGAAAATTCTGCCTTGCCCGAATAGGACGCAACTCAACTCACTCACATATATACGACCGCAGCTTCACTTTTCCCTCACCTGCTGCGGCAGCAAAAAGGCATAGATACACATTCGCCTCGACCTGGTCCATCGACCCAACTCGGCTGATCGACGACAAGCAGCCCAGCCAGGACCCAATCAGCAACCATGTCGGCCAACGACTCCAAAAAGTACCGGAGGAACGTCTCTTTTGAGCCGGTTCACAGCGTGTCAGTCAGAGGTCACCGCCAGCAGGCGAGCGATTCGGGCGTTGGCTCTGACCAAGATTCCTACAGCACCAGCCCCGATCGCTCGGCGCAAGCCTACTTTGACCTGCACAAGGCTCATCTCAGTCTCAAGGATGAGTACACGAAGCTGAAAGACGAGCTTCGCGATGTCAACGCCCGCTTCACCGCCTTGCAAAACACTGTCGAGGTCCTCGAAGACGACAAGGAGAAGCTGGTCCGCGAGAAGCGCACGCTCAGGGAGGAGAACGAAAAGCTCAAGGAGGACGTCCGCAAAGCCCGCTCCAGCCAGCCCCGTGAGCGCGAGCGCGAGCCCAAGATGATGACGGGCGCCATGCCCGTTCAGCAACCACCCTCTCCCAAGGAAAAGACCCGCCGCGGTGAGAGCAAGGTGCGCCGGAGTGAGAGCAAGCGCCGGACCAGCGACGATGAGAAGCGTCATGAGGAGAAGCGTCATGAGGAGAAGCGTCACGAGGAGAAGCGCGAGAAGCGCCACGATGAGCAGGAGCGCAAGGAGCGCAAGGAACGCGAGAAGGAACGCGAGAAGCTCCACGAGGAGGACAAGAAGCGCCTCAAGAGCCGTTTCGACCACAAGGACAGCAGCAGCAAGGATGATGGCAGCGTCTCTAGCGGTAGCTCGGGCCGCAAGAGCTACGTCGAGCCGTACGGCCCCTCCGCGCCTCGATCCACCGCGGAGCGTCCCCGTAAGAGCCGTGCCGACTCGTCCTACTCCCAGATCAGACCTCAAGTCATCGCGACCACCACCATCTCCGACTACGAGGGCAGCACGGCGGTCTACGACGACGGCTACGCCGGCGAGGACGGCCACTACCACGCATACCCCCTCGCATCCCCCCTGCCAGACACTACCCGCGGCAGGTCGCGTCAGTGGTAAGGGCAATTGGAAAAAAAAAATTCCCAAGCCACGCGCGAAAAACAAGCCCTGTGCGACGCACCAAGTCGGGCAATTTTGTTTAACGAGAAAATACGTTTATGATGCGCTGCATCACACCAGTCACAGCGGAAATTCTTCACAATCCCTGGCAACGCATCCCGCATACAGGCGGATAGCGGGAGCCAGGGCCCGCTAAACAGCCCCTCCCCCTTCCCTCGCCCGCGGCGCCTTCCCCCAAGACCGGAAGGCGCCTTTTCCTTTACCTTGACACCTTGACAGAGGGATGGGCATCCAAGCCCAAGCCTGCCCATCTCACCCCGCACCGACCTGGACCAAGACGTCCAACATGGGATGAGACGCAATGGGTTGACTCATTCCTCTCACACGAACACGACCGCCATTGCCGGTCGCGGACTCGGACTCGATTCTATTTCAACGATGCGACCGCTTCTTCATCTGTTACTTTCCATTTCATGTACCAAATCCTGTACCAGATTTCATTTCGTCGACATTGCGATACCCAATACCCTTATATACGTTTGAGACGACAAACACCTTGGATCAATCCAGCCCCCTTTCTTCTTCTTCTTTCTCCAACAGTCAATCGACTCCAACTTTCACCTGCGAACCAAGAAAATTACAAAACAAACAAAAATCACACACAATGAAGCTCTACCCCTCACTGAGCTCCGACCTCGCCGACTGGGCCGCCCGCCAGCCCGTCTTCTTCACGGCCTCGGCCCCGACCCACCTCCCGCACGTCAACGTCTCGCCAAAGGGCCTCTCCGCCCACTTCGCCGTCCTCGGCCCCAACCTCGTCGGCTACATTGACCGCACCGGCTCCGGCTGCGAGACCATCGCCCACAGCTACGAGAACGGCCGCCTCACCCTCATGTTCATGTCCTTCGGCCCCTCCCCGCGCATCCTTCGCATCTTCTGCCGGAGCCGCATCGTGGAGTGGGACAGCCCGGACTTTGACTCGTGGATGAACCGCATCGTCCCGCAGGGCAGCAGCCGGGACTCATACGACGGCGCTAGGGCTGTCGTCCTTGGCGACGTGTGGGAGGTCCAGACGAGCTGCGGCTTCGGCGTGCCCATGGTCAGGAAGGAGCTCTACGCCCCGGCGGCGACATCCGAGGACGGATCTCTCGAAAAGGGGCAGCAATCACCGGCACATCACGAGCTCAAAGACGAACTCTCCGTCTTCGAGGAGCGCCCCACCCTCGACAACTACTGGAAGAAGCGCGCCGACAACAACACCGTCCACAAGTACCAGCTCGAGACCAACGCCGCCTCCATCGACGGCCTGCCCGGGCTCAAGACGGCGCGGCGCGACGCGGGCGAGGTCCTCTGGCTCACCGACGCCCGGTCCCGCGCCGCCCGCGCCCTCCGTGAGACGCACGGCATCCTGCTGGGAATTTTCCTTGCTCTTTTGTTTTACGGTGTTTTGGCTTTGGTAAAATGAGCGTCAGCAGCAGCGGATGGGATGAGATATCAACACTTGTTTGTAATTGGGAAACCGGGAAAAAACCCGGTTTTGCAGAAAGTATTTTGTGTGTGTCACGTTGTATGATTTGCATGGGAGCATTATCACTTTTCCTCTTTATTTAGATAGACTTTTCTGGGCCCTTACTTATTCGGAAATGAGCGGCTTCTTTTTTTTGGACGCGTTTGCACGCAGGAACGACTAGCTATGGATTGATGGATCTATGGATTGATGTAGGGCACTCACTGCCTTTTTTTGTAAGCTTGGGATGGCGGGATCACCCTTAGAGAGATGTATCCCCATTGAGGACAATCAAAAGTTAAACTTGGTGTTTTTTCTACAACTCCCTCTTCAGACCATACGAATGTGACGTGACCCAGTAATACCGAGAGGCCCAATGATACTGAGAATCGTATTGATGCTCTCGTGGCGCCGAGGTGCGTTAGACTCCCTCCAATTATCCACTCCGAACCATCCACTCGGGCCCTCACTCGCATCCCGCCACGGCCCTCCATTCGCGCTGCTGGCCGTCCCGTCCTGTGAGACGATGGAAACTCTCCAACAGGTCGACGTCGAATCGATAATGTGTGACTGCAAGTCAGCGACCGGGGGGGTTTTGTCAAGGGTTTGAAACGCGCACGCCCAATGGTTCGCTGCTTGGGTTCCCGAGGCCCCCCTTTGGGCAGAAACGCAGCCACGACCACAGTGACGGCGTCGCAATCCTACTTTTTTTTTGCCTTCGCCTTCGCCAGTCAACCACGTTTCCTCGCCGACGTGCCGCCCATGCCATGCCATGCTGGGGCCACGCGCACGCATGCGTAGGTAGGGTAGATCGATGTAAGGTACACACAAAAATATACCATTCGCAAACCGTAGACTTGGGGTGGGTTGCCTGAGCAATCATCCCGCACCTGCAGCCTTATCCGCAGCGGGAGCGGCAGCGGCGGCGGCAGCTTGCTGCTGCGCATCCTTGTTGGCCGCGGCCTTACCGCCACCACGGCCACGCCTGGTGCGCTTGTGGCGCTGCTCCTCGGGCTTGTCAGGGTTGTTCGTTGCGTTGGCGTCCTTTTCCTTGTTTGCGCCGGAAGCTGAGGAGGATGCCGCGGGCGCATTGGAGGAGGAAGCTGCGTTGCCAGAGTTGTTGGTGCTGGCGGCGTTGCTGGCGGCGGGCTTCTTTTCCTTGCGCTCGAGAACCTGAACAGTGCCTTGGGCAACAGTGACTGGGCTGGCGGCGATGGCCTTGGCGAGACCGTCGTGGTCGGAGAAGTCAACGTAGGCGAAGCCCTTACGCTTATCGATCTCGACGAAGATGACGGTCCCAAACGCTTCCATGGCCTGCTTTAGGAGGTTCTCGGTCACACCCTGGGACGGGTTGGCGTGCTTGACGAAGCCGCGGGTGGCGCCAGGGGTGACTGTGACAGAGCTGGCACCCTTCTTGGAGTTGCTGCCCTTCCCTGAGCCCTTAGGTCCTGTTGGGGGGTTGGATTTGGCGGGCGCTGGTTGGGATGATGAGGCCTCCTTCTCGGCCTTCTCGGCCTTTTCTGCCTTCTCCTCGTTCTTTTTCTCGTCCCTCTTCTTAAGCAGCACAACAGGGGTCTTGGTGGGCGCTGGGGTGTTGGAAGAACCACCAGTGTCGTTGGACTTGCCCTTTCCTTCATTGGCAGCCGCGTTCTTACCACCTCCACCTCTACGGGTGCGTCCTGACTTGGGAGCACTGGGTGCCGCGTTGCGCTCCGAGGATTGGGCAGCATTGGAGGAGGATTGGGCTGGCGGCGCGGGTGGTGCCGCAGCAGCCGGAACTTCAGCCGCGGGCTGAGCAGGCTCCTTCGGAGTCGCAGCCTTCGCTTCTGCCTCCGCCTTGGCAGCGTCAAGACGAGCCCTTCTATGAGCGCTGCCAGGACTGATGCCAAGGTCGCGCTGCAGAATACGTGCAGCAGCTGCAATACCAGCCCGTCGGCTCTTAGGTGCCTCCTGAGCGGCCGAAGAACTCTGGGTGATCTGGCTGGCAACGGCCTCTGCTGCTTTAACGGCGTCCGCGGTTGCTTTCTTGGTCAGAATCTTGACCGTCTCCTTGGGCTTCTCTGCAGACTTCTCTGTCTTAGAGTCCTTCTTGCCCTTCTTCGAATCCTCCGTAGACGCCGATGCTTTGCCCTTGGTATTCTGAGATTCTTGACGTGCTTGCTTCGCGCTCTTAGCTGCGGCCGCTTCTTTGGCCTTGTTGGCCTTCTTCTCCTTGAGGAACTCGATCAGAGGTGTCGTTGTGACCTTTGCATCCGGCTTCGACTCGTCTGCCGCATCCTTGCTTTCGCTACCCTCGGTCTCCTTGTTCTGCTCAGGGTTGGTCAAATCTTGAAGGAAGGCCATAAACTCCGGGTCCTGATCGATCGTTCCCTGCCTGGGGTCGGTGCGCTTTTTGCCGCTTGGAATCTTATTGTAAGACGCCATCTCGAGAACCGGAGGCCCGACAAGGGAGGGGCTGTTGGACGTCATTTTGGCGTCCTCCCAGGACCTGGCCTGTATCAAGTTGGAAAGGGTGTTCAGGTCCTCGCGCTTCAAGACGTTGAGGTAGACTCTTGCCGGCCGCGACGGCTTCGCAGCGCTGCGCGAACCACAGTCAGTCCGATTCGCAGTGCCAGCAAACTGACGAGTACCTACTCTTGAGAGATCTTGCCGGCCTCGAAGTTGTGCCAGCTGACAAGACCCTGTCCAGCCTTCCACTCATCTCCAAGCTTGTTCCATAGTTCCTGCTCCGTCAAGCCCGGGGGCAATCGCCTGATAACCACTTTGTGGCCTTCGACCGCAGCACGACTCTTATTCGACTTCGGCGTATCGGCGGCCGTCTGCTGGCCAGAGACAGGAAGGACACCGTTCGTCTTACGCGAGGCGCCCTGGGAGCCTGATGTGGCCATCGTTGCGGACAAGGCGTTGTTTGCGACTCGAGTCGATGTGTTTCTTGTACCGTCGGCGCCGACTCCAAACAGAGTGCGCGACTTTGTCTTGAGGCTGAATTGGTGTTTCAGTGAGCCAGATGTAGATGACGTGAATTACTTTAAAAGGCTGTTATGCCTAAACTGCTGAATGATTGCTCTGTGCCCTAGGTACCAACAAGGGACACAGCCTTGGGCCTGTGATTGTGGTAGAGGTGTGACGCCAGGGTAGCGGCGCGGGGCGCTTTGGTTCACATCAATCACGGATCTGAAAGAATGGAGCACAGAGCACTTTCCGTCTGATGTGGGTCTTATCAGATAAGATAGCACTAGCCTCTTTAGGATAGCTTCCTTTGGCAGGAACTTCCCAGGGTCATCTTCGGATAAACCTTATCCTGCCCTTTCTCTCTCGGACAAACTTTCTTCCCACAACAGAGTTTATCCGAGATTCACCCAGGTGGAAGCCAGCCACAGACAATGGACAAGGGATCCGAGTCCACCGAGGTCACCGAGGGCGAGGAGCCTCACAAAGACGACTACTTTTCGGAAGCTTTTCCGGATTTCAATGAGGACAACATAAACCGCGGACTTCAGGTTTCTACGAAGGACAACAGCGCGACAACTTCGACTTATTCGCCGCCAAGTGAAGCCCAGATCGAGGCTGCTATCAAGCGTGCGAATCTCGCCTTCGCAAACCCGCTTACCAACGTCCCTCGCCGCGGGCCAGCTGGAGCCGGCCGTGCACGCAATCGCTCAGCGGAGGTATCCTTCAACCTTCCCGCAAGACACCCTGACCTCGGTCAACAGCATCAGTCGCCCGATCAGCAGCAGCAGCAAGTTCCTCAGGCATCTACAGCCGGTCCTGTCCCGTCATCTGCGTCTGCGTCAGGTTCAAGTCGTGGTCGAGGCATTCCGGTCCCTGGCAGAGGAACGGCCTATATCCCCACTTTAACCGCCGCCAACCGCACTGCAGAGCTGATACGCCCGCGTGCGCCCAACTTCAGTCGCCCACGTCCGGTCGTTGTCGGGGCTTACGATAACCCATACCAAGAGCATCTCCAGAGAGTCGCGCGTCGTGAAGAAAGCGACAGACGCACCCGTGAAGCATATTCGAATTCTTCGAGAAGTCCGGTTCAGCAGCCTAGACCTCTCCCTGAGCTACCCCCTGGCGCTACCACCCCACCGCCTGTTGTTGTCGCACCCAATCGTGGTACCCAGGCCCCTCCCCCCGCCCTGCCCGCCGATCCACCGCACCCTCTGAGGTCAAATCCGATCTTGTCGACGCCCCAAGACCCTCCGTCTCTCATTCTCCCACGCCGCCGACCACGCTCATCCTCGATATCACTTCCTTCCAACGATACCCCCAACGTCCGTCCCAGTCCTACCGCCGGCCGACGTGTTCCCGAGTCAATCGCAGAGGAGCCCAACCAAGAGGACGACTTCGAATATTCCGAAGAGCCACAGGTTCGCACTGCGCAGATCGGCCGCGTTATTCGACGTCCTAACGACCCCACCAAAGACGACTCATTCCAGCCATCGCTTCGCGGCGGCAGTCTCGACATCGGCGACTTCCCTGAGGAATTCGACCCTGATTACTACGAGCCCGACGAGTACGAAGACGAAGACTCGCTAGAGTTAGCTGAGGAGTTCAACCCAAACATCTCAGCAGATTTCGATCCCTACGAAGTCGAGAGAAATTCTCAAGTTTATACCCAAGCGTTGAACGACAAGATGGCAGGCCACATTCCTCGCCCGGGCCCTGCCCAACTATCGCCCAATGCAGGCCTGGATGAGTGGCTGGAGGAGGCCAAGCAGTGCCACTATCTACCCGAGCGCGCGATGAAGGAGCTTTGCGAACTGGTGAAAGAGGTTCTGATGGAGGGTAAGGACCGCGCCATTCGGGCTGATTGGGCATCTTACTGACCTTACGACTCCAGAGTCAAACATTCAGCCCGTGTGCACCCCAGTGACAATTTGTGGCGATATCCACGGCCAGTTCTACGATCTCTTGGAGTTGTTCCGCGTCGCAGGTGGAATGCCTGGTGAATCACGAGTTGAAGCACCCAAGACGGCCACAACAGTCATCAGCCCCGAGGATATTGAGCCGCCGACGGAGATCACCAACCCGAAACTGAAGAAGAAGGTCAAGAATGCAGGCAGCCCTGCTCCCGATGATGAGGAAGATGATGAAGCGGCCGCCGCCGATACTAGCACAACCTCAAGGCCCGATTCGGCCGTTGAGGTTAGCACGGGCTCTCAATCAGCCGACACCAGATTCGTGTTCCTCGGCGACTTCGTTGACCGCGGCTACTTCAGTCTTGAGACCTTTACCCTTCTCATGTGCCTGAAGGCCAAGTACGTCGCACAAAAGAATGGGGCTCTAGCATGTGCTAACTCGAAGTGTAGATACCCCGACAGGATTGTTCTCGTACGTGGCAATCACGAGTCTCGCCAGATCACCCAGGTCTATGGTTTCTACGAAGAGTGCCAGCAAAAGTACGGTAATGCCTCGGTTTGGAAGGCCTGCTGTCACGTTTTCGATTTCCTTGTCTTGGCTGCCATTGTTGACGGCGAACTACTCTGCGTCCACGGTGGTCTCAGCCCTGAGATCCGCACCATTGATCAGATTCGCGTCGTTGCACGTGCTCAGGAGATCCCCCATGAGGGCGCCTTTTGCGATCTGGTCTGGTCAGACCCCGAAGATGTGGAAACCTGGGCCATCAGCCCCCGTGGTGCTGGTTGGCTTTTCGGCGACAAGGTGGCCACGGAGTTCAACCATGTCAACGGCCTGAAGCTCATTGCTAGAGCCCATCAACTTGTCAACGAGGGATACAAGGTATGTCTCTGCCATTTGTCACATATCAGTCAGCTAAGATGGTGCAGTACCACTTCCCACAAAACTCTGTCGTCACAGTTTGGTCTGCTCCGAATTACTGCTACCGCTGCGGTAACGTAGCATCCATCATGACTGTGGACAAGGATATGAACCCCAAATTCAGCATCTTCTCTGCGGTTCCGGATGACCAACGTCACGTTCCCGCTAACCGCCGTGGGCCTGGTGATTATTTCCTGTAATGGGAGTTGCCACTGCTTTGACGACGGGAAATGTCTTCGCGATTGTGCTAGATTCAGGGACGGGGCATAAGAGGCATCGCCAGTTTTCGCATTATATCTGGACGTCTCCTAAATAACCGCAGGTCTGTGGAAGAGTAATCTGAAAGCTGCCTCGTTCTGCGTTGCCAGAGTTCACGGACATCTTCATTGAGGTCTTGGACAATGTCATGCGGCAAGACAACTGGAAATGACGAGGGACGATCTTATCACGTTTGCGAGTTTCAAGGCCTGGATATCGACCTTGCGGACAGACAACAGGAGACCTGGACATCGTCCACGACAACGCTTGATGAAACGTGAAGGCAATGGAGGGTTGACTGATTTCCCCGGGAAGCAAGTTTGCGTCCAACCCAGGCATGTTATTGGTCGCGAACAGAAATCAATACGCATTCCTCATGCTCCAGCGCGAAGAAGAAGTTTGGGGCGCGAGCCTTCAAGACAGCTCGCTTGAATTGCATAGAAGAAGGTACATGGCAGAACGGCGGGTTGGCTTCGTGATGTCTGATGATGAATGCATGGAATAAGAAGGTCGGTAACACCACCTTGTAGAATTACGTTAGGTTAGAGGTTAAATACCCGATACATGTTGGTCTCAACGACGTCGTAGATGTGAATGACTTTCATTTTATCAATATTTTCAGAAGGTATCGCTGAGATCCGTCGGCCAAACGTAGCGCCATGATGGTATTTGCGCTCTCCAACTGTAGACGACTGCACACACACAACAACTCCCCTCTCACCCGTACGCCACCCGGTATCACTTCCCCCAAAGACTTTTCGAATCCATTTAAGCACGCTTGATCTCCCACTTCAGCTCCTTGATGCTGACCTCCTCGCCGGCCTTCTCGTCGTAATCGAACCACTCTCCGTCGGTGAGCTCGATGGCCGTGAACTTGGTGCCCGAATCCGCGCCCTCTGCGAGCCATTCTCCCTCCGGGATAAAGTCGACGAACTCCAGGCCTCGGCAGTCGAACTCAATGACTTTTTGTTGCTTGGCGGGCTCTCCCTGCTCATAGGCGGCGGGGGCGGCCTTGATTGAGGCCGAGGACTCGCGCTTGCAGTTCTTGCACTTCCACACAAAGTTGGCCTCGCCCCTGCTGCCGCTCATCTCGTTGTTCTCCTGGTCGACGGTGAGTAATTATGCAGAATCTTGGTAAAGGTTTTAACATACAAATCGGTTGACACCGACGGTCTTGTCGTGGACTTCGCGACACGAGGTACACTGGACCTTGAAAGTGTACCAGAAGGGGTTACCCTCGCTGTCATCGGGGCGAAGGTTCGTGATCCTGTTGAGGTCAGCGAGAGTCAAATCGAGAAGCCAGTGATGGAAAACCTACCCCTCCAGCTCTGCAGTAAGATAAAGGGCGAACATTGTGAATACGCTTCTTTTACCCCTTGTGTCTCACAGGATCAAATGTTCAGAGTGTTTCTTGAGGCTGCAGGGTGCCCCTCTGAGCTCACAGTGAAGCATTCGATGGTGGGGTTGGAGGGGCAGTTGCGTCACTTCTGTAAGCGAAAGGCACGTTTAGCCAAATATTTACCCCCACTTTATCGCATAAGAGCAATTTTGATATCCCCGATCTTCGATTAGGTCGGGCTCGGCAGCTCGGTCCTTGGAACGACAATATTTACGCATCAGACCATAATCTCGACGCCGAAGGCCCCCCGACGCCCGCCCGCACCTGCCTTCGAAACGATCAATCGCACTCAATTGGGGCTGCCTTTGCAGCCGGAATGCCGTCAGAATGCAGGCAATCTGGTCCAGAGCGGGCCAGGCGCCTCATTGCGGTTGCAAGGCCTGCTTCAAAGCCGCGGGGGGCATGGTACGACAGTCCGCGACGCGGGTGACGCCCCGGAAACCGACCTTT